CCTTAAACATCTCACGTAATTTATGGACGCCCCCTAATGTCATTTGTAAAACTTCATTTGTCCGAAAAAAAACTACATACCAATATATGAGCGCAAAATTATATAAAAAATTAAATTCTCTTTTATCCATTCATTCCCTTACAATGTGTAAATTAGCAAATGGCTGAAAGGTATGGATTACAAAGAGACAGAGTGTTAAGTAAATAATTAGAACACTTTTTATAATTACATACGGCAGCAGTTAGTTATTGACGGTTTCTGTAATTTTTATAACTTGTTTATATATCTATATAAGTTAATCATATAACCAATGTGCGCACACCTAAATCGGCCACAGTATTTACGTACATAGAGGGGACCCTGTTGCCTGTAATACAGGTTATCCTACCACTGGCAACAGAAGTCACCTTTAACAATATTTAAGCTTCGATGTGCCTCTTATCACCAATTTTTGTCTTATTAATTTAAAAATATTGTATATTGTAACTTGCTTAAAGTCAATAAACGTTTATTATTATTATTATCTTTGCGCGATCGAATGAGAAATGATGAGATCCGCCGAAGAGCTTGTTGAAGTAATACTTCTTGGTCAATTGATGAGTAGTAATTTAGTGATCTCTCTCTATCTATCTTTAAACTAAATTTGACAGACATTAGAATGTCATAAAAGAAGAATATACAATAATACACAATGCGCTGCTTTGCAGCTTAAGAAAGGCTGGAGAAAATTCGACGCGGCCGTCAGGGCTATGCTACCGCGCATAATAGTCGGTGCATTCGCCCGGATAGCGGGGGGTGCGGGTTCGATTCCCGTCTGATGCCTGGTCGGCGTGGATTTTTTTCTAGTCAAATGATCTAGCAGATAAATGCTTCAAAAAAATATAAGAATATAGTTTTGTTTTGATGGTGTTTCTGTCAAGTTGATAATATCAGTGTTTACATTTTATCAATTATTATTATTTATTTTATCTTCTGTTACTATTTGATTATTTTACTTATATATATATTAAAGAAAGTCTTGAGTTTTCACATTACCAAGGAACTGGGGTAAGTGCGTACATGACAGAGCTACATAGCCCTACCATAGGTCGCCGACATAGCCCAAAGAATTGAGAGCCTAAGTGGCAGTGGGCAGAGCACATTGCAAGGAGGACTGACGGCCGTTGGGGCGGGGCGGTCCTCGAGTGGCGGTTACGTACCAACGCTGCGTCGTTGGTAGGTCCCCCACAAGGTGGACTGACGATCTGGTAAAGGTCGCGGGAAGCCACTCAATGCGGGCAACGCAGGACCGATCGGTTTGGAATTCCTTGGGGGAGGCCTATGTCCAACAGTGGGCGTTTCTCAGCTGATATGATGATGATGATGTTATCATTTAGAAAACTAACAAATTCATTCAACTCTATAATAAAATGTAAGAAATTCATTCAACTTTATATTAAATTGTAACAAATTAATTCAAATTTATAATAAAATCTAACAAATTTATTCAACTTTCTACGGAATTACCTCTCCTGATCATGTTTAGTACATTGATTTAACACTTCAAAGGAATTCGTACATTGTTTCATAATAATAATTTGGTTCCAGGGCTCCACGTGGTAGAGGATTGGGTCAGGGTAGGCAACGGCACGAGTGATATTTTTCGGTATCGCAAGCTTCTGTATGCTATGCCATTAGGTGTCGCCGCACACGGGCCACCGACCACAACCACAAAACGCCGCCACCGGCATATTTCTTGTAGTTTTCATACATTTTACATGGACTCGCCACACACGGTACGCCGGTGGCCGCCACACGCTACAAATCGTCGTTTCTCGCTTCTTGTGGCCCGCACCGGCCACTTAATGCGCCGATACGAAACGCCGCCACACGTCACTCGCGCGATTCCCCACCCCTCTCTTCCTTACCTTAGTCGGCCGCTGTCGCGCGCTTCAGCCACTTTAGTAGCCGCTTCTAGCTTCTCGTGGCGGCGTTTGTGGCTGTGGCGTGTGGCCCGTGTGCGGCGACACTAGGGGGGCCATATGCACTTCTTTACGCACGCTTGACTTGGGGAGTAAGCTGGCGAATGCGTTACGCGTTACGAAAAGTGTGTTCGGGCAGGGCGAATGGGATTTGAGTGGGGGATATAAGCAAGAGAAAGCAGTGCGTGGGCACATTTTCTTTCTCTCTTTCTGTTACAGCTAGTAAATGAAACATGTATATGTACATACATGTATATAATGTACATACATACAGATGGAGCTAAAGAAGTTTCATTTCAGGCGCGTGGTTATAAGCTACACACGTTTTTTTAGGATTTAGTAAAAAAATATTAAGTTCAATGTCCGAGCGAAATCCCATGTCCGTGGAATTAACCCTCAAGGCGACAAGTTATTGACTCACAGATAAGGTATTTATTTATATCTAACGGTTCAATAAATTGCTCATAGATTGTACATAATTACCTACTTATGCCATTGCTAAAATTATGGTTAAAGTCAATATTCCTAGGTTTTATGTAAGTCGTTCAACGGGAATCTCGCGGTACCGCACTTTACAGCATAGAGGGTATTCGCAGAGTTTTTTAGCGGATAGTATGCCGCAAGCGCTCGTAAGCCGCGCGGACTGCTTAACGGCTTTCCGATTCGCACCCGTGAGACTTGCGAAAGGATAGGTGTGAGGTCCCTTCGTTGGTGAGCCCCTTAAAATTTGTTTTGTATTTGTATTTGTTTGCAGTGTCGTACAGATAAATAACCTTAATTCTAAGTAACTATTTTAGTTTGGTTTGAGTGGTTATGGGTAGTCATGCTCTCTTAAAAATCTCTTCGGCGGTGTCGTGTGAGGCGGGTCGTTGCGTTCCCTACAATATGGTTGAGCGAAGCGATGGCTTGTTCATGCGTCATGGTCGTGAACGGGTGCCGGAAGTTAGATGTTTTTTGATAATTAATAAGATGAAAAATTAAAATTCTAATTCATTATGTTACAACAAAAACATATTTCTGTTGTCGTAGTAATTAATTTGATCTAATTTATTCAACATTATTGAAAGATTGAGGCGATTGAAGTTGTGCATATTATCGTTTTATCCGTAGACTAACTCCTAACTAGCTGCAGTAGAACGATCAGTACAAAAAAAAGGAAAATACTAGTATTTGCAAATATTTTACATTAACTTACAATAGAAAGAATAAATCTATTATTTACTTCTATTAGAGATAATCAAAATTTTATGTAAGAGGGTAAACGAGGCGCTCAAAAATTACGATTTTTTGCAAAAAATGTGAAAGGGCTCTTCAACGGACAACTCTCCCTCCGCCGGTGCCGCGCGCTATATTATCGTCTGTGGCTGTAACGGATTTTTTGTGCCAGCAAAATCAACATCTGTATAGAAGTTTCACTGCGAAAAATAAATACACAATATTAAATATTAGTATAATAAACCAATTAGAATTTTGTCATTTTGCGCTCCCTACATAGAACTTATAGTTGCGCCATCTAGTGTTGAATAGATTAAATAAGTAAGCGATTGTAGGTTGACATCTAGTGTGAAGTAAAAATACCATTTGGTTTATGAATGAATGATGACTGTTTTAGAGATATGACCGAGGCGTTTGTTCAATCTTTATTGTAGAAAGTTGCCATAATTAACCCTAGTTCACCCATATTTTGAGTATGAATGCAATCTGAATTACACTTTACGAAACAGACTATTACTATATATTAAGGGATAAACAGTGAAGGAATAAGAGATTTTATAGTACAATTGGCATATAATTTTTACTTTATTTCTTTAGTAGGAAACCCAATCATAATTATGCAATATTTTTTAGTTTCTTGTATGCTTATGATTTCATACTATAATCATAACAAATACTTTTTAGGGTTCCGTAGCCAAATGGCAAAAAATGGAACCCTTATAGATTCGTCATGTCCCTCCATCTGTCCGTCCGTATGTCACAGCCACTTTTTTCCGAATCTATTGGAACTATACTGTTGAAACTTGGTAAGTTGATGTATTCTGTAAACCGCATTAAGATTTTCATAAAACAAGAGAAAAATAATTTTTTTTGGGCTTCCCCATACTTAGGACTGAAATTAAAAAAAAACTTCAAACCCATACGTATGACGTATCTATGGATAGGTTTTCAAAAATGATATTGAGGTACATATTTTTTTTTTCTAAACTGAATAGTTTTCGCGAGAGACACTTCCAAAATGGTAAAATGTGTGTCTAAGCTCTAATAAATAATTAAAATTATTAACTGAACTCTAATAATTTTAATTGAGCACAGAACGAGCTCGGGTTTGCTCAAAGATCAATTTTGGAGTGTGTCAGATAGCTGGCCGCACCGATCGGCAGCCAGCCCGCGGTGCAGGTCGAGGAGGGGGGGGGGGGGGGGGGACTCAACAAACAAGTCGCCGAACTTGGAAGCGGGCGCGCAGCGCATTGCTTGATCGATGTTAAATGGATTTTGTGTTTATAAACAATAGGTATTCAAAAACATAGTTTATTGATCCGTGTAAATAATGTACATAGGTATTTTAGTTAATAATACCTATTAAGTTTAATTTAATTTGAAGTAGTATATTGCAAGTTCAAAAAAAATGTAACAACGTTACAACATGCATTCGTGAAGTGTGCTAAAAAGCACTAACCGGAAAAAAGTGAGGGGTCATGAAGCTCTCTTAATTCTTATAACTATCATTGATAACGTCGCCATTCAATAGCTTTTATTTATGCCACATATCAATAATAGATTACTAACATTGAAAATAATATCAATTAAAATTTATGATTGTAAGAACTGCTTATTTTTTTACATAATTATTATTAATATTTGTAAATAAAATGATAAATTATAGGCGAGATATCTAATTTGCATCTGGCAACATTATAGTTGTCAGCATAGTATGTATTTCATGTTTTCATTCATAACCTGAGGTTGTAAGCGTGCGTTCATTGGTCAATCAAATGAATGAATGAGTGGGTTTCTTTGGCTGCACAGCTCTCTGCACAGTGAGACCATAGGAAAAAGAGAGAGAACGAACAAGCAAGAGCAGAAGTCATTGTTTATGTGCCGCGGAGCGTTGTGTTCAGTGATTTTACGTGATGGCGTTCATAAATTTAATTTATTTAACGTTTCTATGCTGTTTCATTAGTTTTGGTAAGTTGAAATTTAACAATAATATTTAAACTAACAGTTTTGGTTGGAACATAGAGTTTTAATGTACTTAACACCAGCTTCTTTCCACCACGCCGAACCGTTGTTTTTGCAACCGTCACACCCTTCTTATTCCTTTTGTGCGAATAATTCCTTAAAAATTTCCAGTGAATGTGTTGTGTTTATGTGTACTTTCAATTTAAAGTAAGTAATCATACATTTTTTGTTAATATTCATCGAAAGGCGTCATTAGAAAAGTAACGCCCCGCCTTTTCTAGCTGAAGTAAATTATAAACAGGTAGATTGTATTATTCAAAAATAATTTTATTATTAAAATGCATTTGAATGCTGATTTACATCTCTAGAAGACTGAATCAAAAGATTTCAGTTCCATAAAGTCAAACAATACAATGAATTAAACTGAGGGGTCAGGAAGCCACATATATCTGTCTAATAAATAAATACAATGGTGTCAATTCTGGCATGATTCTCTAAAACTTAATTTAACATCAGTCTCTCCTTCTCATTCTGTGTAGATAATGACAACAGCAGTTTATCCTACACTGTTGTCAAATTTAAGTTTAGGTTTAGACAAGAAGCTTATATACAACACTGGAGATTGCATGTAGAACTTCTGTATGAAGATGAGTTCATTAACCCCATGATGTTTTTTATCTCTCTCACACACTATCTGAAATTACCATGTTAAATACAAGAAATTCCAATCAGAAAGTGAAAATAAACAGAACTATGCAAGATATCAATCAGTTTTACAATCTCCAGAAGTCCTACTCTTGTATTACTATTATAAGATGAGTGTGACAAATTCTAACTAACTACTTTGAAATCAATATTTAAAACTAAATAATAAATTCGCCCTTTATTTCCCTGTTTGCTGGTTGCTAACATTTTGGTATAATAGCAACACTAATTAAAAAATCAACTGAAGAATATCTCCGATCTGTCAAAAAATATCTACCGCTTCGAATGTTTAGATTATTATTATAAAGTGTTAAATTGTTCAATTTGCTATTTATAATATGTATTGTGTTGTGCGAGATTGCAGAAGTGTTTGGGAACCAAATTCCAGCACTAAATTTCACAGGTAAGTCTATTACATTACGCCAATACCGAAATAAAATTATTTTTATGTTGTAATCATAATAAAACATTAGTATTCATAAATCATAGTGTCCTGAGGCTATAAATTAACGTTATTCTTGTTTTATTCACTACATTTCGTACAATATTCAGCAGTTTATTAAATTAAAATAATATAAATTTTGGTTTTGTAGGGTAACCATTATCACTACACTTGAGATATTTTGAGAAAGTTAAAATACATAAGTATTATTGTAAATATTAATTACAAAGTTCAAAATATGAAAATAAGTTTATAATAAATACTGTAGTAGATCATGTTAATTAGATGTAGAAAACCTATTTAATAACAGCTATCTAGCAGCGGTCTTATACCTTTGTTTATGTTTCAGCTTCCCGAAAGATGTCATTAAAAGAAATTCTTGGTTGTCCATTATACTGTCACAAACGCTCTCGAAACGGAACCGCGAATGTGCTAGAGATCGAATTTGCCAGAGCACCGCGGGTCGCGATGGAAGTCGAGTAAGGCGGCTCATTCTAAAATGAGCCTTATGCAGTGCGACGTAAAGGAGAAAGTGCAACGATATCTGCACTTGTTTATAAGTTATGCGTGTTACCTGCGTAGGTATAAGTAGGTATTTCGTACTCGCGGGAGCTAGGTAATTCTCAAGTTAACAGGTACTTTCTAGAATGCATCGATTGGCGCCGCGCAGAGACATTTGAGTTTCAACAGCGATTTCGGAGCGAATCCAAAGGGGATCAAAGTGCAACAAAAGTGTTCAAGTGAGATTGTTTAGAGACTTGTATAGTGAAATAAAGTGTTTAGTGAGTGTTTTGTAATTATCACTGGTGTCAATTCTGGCGTGATTATCTAAAGCTAAACTTAAATTTGACAACAGTGTATCTTTGTCATTCTCTATACAGAATGAAAAGGACAGACTGATGTTAAATTTAGTTTTAAGTTTAGAGAATCCTGCCAGAATCGACAGCATTGTGTGTTAATTGTGTGAACTGTGTGGTGAATAAAGAACTGTCAATCGTGAACTGGCATATAATTTCGAACCCCATCCCGACACGTAACAATACCATTAAAAGGTCAATTTTATTTATCAGCCAAAATATGTAGCTTAGAGTTTCTAGTCCGTTCTTAGTAAATGGCATTTCTGGCGATTTTAAAAAGGGTTTGCATATTCTTGTTCAATTTTTTATAAACGTTTTTGTTATTGCATAAGATGCATCTAATATGAATAAAATGATTTTTGTACTTGTGAATTTTATTACTATTAAATAATGTGTTCCCAAGTTCCTATCAACTCCAACGCTTTGATTTATAAATTGTTTAAAGACGATACCAGTAAGTATGTATCCTAAACGTATATTCCAACATGGTCACCCTTAGAAAGAGATAACAAACATATGTGACGTCATTCAAGGCCACATTTTTTCACTTCAAGGTATTGTTTGCACTGCAATCTCCAGTGTTGTATAAATAAGCTTCTTGGGTTTAGAGAATCATGTCAGAATCGACACTGTTGTCTGTGCCTCAAAAAGATTCTTTGCAATTTTTGCAATGATAATATAGGTACTATTTCTTAAATATTTTCGTTGTTACAAATAAGTTACACATGCATTCAATAAAAGTTAAAGAAAAATTGTCTTACAAAATTTACATAAACAAGGTTAAAAACATTATTGTAACTCTTTTGTAGTTAGACCAGTCTTCTTATTTTTATAATTTTTTATGAAGTTGTATAGTTAAATTTATCATGTAAGTAATTTCATTTTGTTATTTCTGACTGCCGAAGGTTTTCAAATACCTCACGCTCATTTTATTTAATATTGTTATTACCAATGCAAAAGAAAAAAAAACAGCGCGAGACATTTGAAAACCTCAGGTGGCTAGAAATAACAAAATGAAATCATAAGCCATAGCCATGACCAATGTTTTATCATGTCTTATGAAGCACAGATAGTAAATTTTTGTTCACCCATCCAAAGACCGACAACTGCGAAAGTTGCTTAACTTTAATCATTGCTGCAGAACGCCTCAACCACTTAAATATTTTTATTCTTTTGGTATGTTACAGCAAACAGCCAAAGGACTCCGACTATTTCGCACATCACCCAAGAGCAGATAAGAGACATTGGGGGCCAAGTAGACTTAGATTGCTCTGTACATTACAGCAATGAATACCCTGTCATTTGGGTAAGTCAATATTTTTTAAGAGAGAGAGGGAGAGTTTTTTTTTATTTACAATTTAACACAAGTATTACGAATAGAAAGAACACATTTACATTACTAAAAAACTTTTTTTTAAAAGAACTTAAAACACTAAATAGTTATATAATTGATGCTGATTTCGTACACGACCAAATAATTATGTAATAGAAATACAGTTAAACCTCTGCCTCAAAGACAGCAGAGAGTTTGCAGCTTAAATAAAAAAAAAGGTTTTATCAGGGCTAAAAATACCCTTTTCTATTACCCAAGTTATAATCTCTTCTCATGCTAAACTCAATCAAAAATCTGTTGAGCCATTATCACTTTACTCAATCACCATATAAATATCACGTAATATCAAATCATTTATGATGAAATATTTTTTTTAATATCTACTGTCTGATTTTGATGTTCTACCAACTTCAGCCATCATATTGTGTCATGTCGTTGACCTAATTGTCCTCCTGTCCATCCTGACAATTTCTATAGGTTACTCTGTCATAGGGGTTATAAAATTGGTTTTATAGCTTTCAACGCTACTGAATGGAATCCATTTGGTTAGTACATCAATAATAATAGTTCCTTTATTTGTGTCTCAGTAATGTGAAAGATATTCTTTTATTTGTATCACAATAACAAGTCTTATCCAGAAATGTCAACAGAAATAGTTGGGAGGTCACACAGATCAGTAAACAGTTAAATTATTTATTTGTGGTGATATAATTGTCGCAGTCTTGAAACATGATAGAAAAAAAATGAGTGGGCAAACAAAATATCCTTTATTTCTTTCATTATTTTTATATCCATATATATAAAAATCAAAGGTGACTGACTGACATAGTGATCTATCAACGCACAGCCCAAACCACTGGATGGATCGGGCTGAAATTTGGCATGCAGGTAGATGTTATGACGTAGGCATCCGCTAAGAAAGGACTTTGATCAATTCAATTCAAGGGGACAAAATAGGGTATGAAAGTTTGTATGAAACTTTGTCAATTTTAAACCGATCGGGCTGAGACTTTGCATTCAGGTATAAGAAGAATCATAGATGAATGTCATTGTGTATAATACATGCCTGAGAACAAAAACTGTAGTCTACACTTCAGCTACACATCGACACACTACACCGAAGCGAAGCGAGGGCGGGCCGCTAATTTTTACTAATTTCACTACAATCTAACAATATTGGGATTTCTATCATCTTCTTACAATATCTTGGTATTAGAAATCTGTAATTTGGCATAGACACTTGACTTGGTCAGCTTTATTGCTACTAATAAAATTCAAAAGTAATTAAAACACAAAAGATACTTACATTGAGAAACTTATTGACACCACACTGCTGGTTATGTCTCCACCTTTGAATTAAAACCTATTAATATTTTTTTATTATTAATTTTAAATTAAAACTACACTAAGTGATAATTAACAAAAAAAAAAGCTATTTTCACTATCTCTGTGCAATTGGCAGAAAAAAAGACAGCTCAAGTTTATTATTAATGAAATACACTTTAAAGTTTATTGTTTAAATAGTTTTATATAGAATGCCTGCCCTTTGTACGCTCTGTTGGATTAGATAACGTCCTCGACACTAAATTCAATAGAAGTAGGACAGCTCCCACGTATTCTTTGGTAGTAATAGTGACTAGAGATGGGGCTAGACAGGACCTGCTAGGGAAACTGTGAAATAGGACTAAGATTTAGGAGGAGCTCAGTGGCGTGTAAGTTCATAGGCGATGAAGAGGTGACTAAACACCTCGAGCCTCTTCAATTACGCCGTGACGTGGCGGCATTAAGCGCGTTCTATCGTCTGTACCACGGCGAGTGTTCTGAGGAGTTATCCTCTCTTATTCCACCTTCCCCTTACCTTCAGAGGACCACGTGCGCTGGCCTACGTTACCGACTAACTGTGGCCACTATTCCAACACGTACAACAAAGTTTGGTGACGCATTTCTTTGTCGCACTATCTGTAAATGGAATGCTTTGCCGCTCACGTGTTCCCTCCCTCTTACAACCTGGGATCCTTTAAAAGAGGCGTGAAGTAGCACCATGCAGGCCGGCAGGGTGAGAATATCTGGTGTGGCAGGTAGAACTGCTGTATCAGCTATCTTCCCATCTGGACTTCACCGTCACTTAACATGAGGTGGGGTGGAGTCATTTGTCGGACCTATCTGTAAGCAACTTTCGCAGTGGTCCGTCATTGGATGGGTTACCAAAAACTTAATGTCTCGAGCTCCTCCGTGCTTCGAATGCACGTTAAGCCGTTGGTCCCGGCTGCATCTGCAGTCGTTAGCACACACCAATCCGTACTAGGCCCGAGTGGTGGGTTTCGTTACGGCCCAGTCTCCCTATTCCATTCTTGGGAAAGGCCTGTGCCCCTGCAGTGGGGACATTGATGGGCTGATAATGAAAATAGGCGAAAGGCTGGCAGACTGTCACTATTATTTCCAAGCAACATCTTCGGCCTCGTCCAGCTATACAGAAGACGGCACTATTTTGTTCGTTATATTAGTAAGGATACTGAAGCTCTTTGGGGAAGGGAATAGGGCTCAGAACGGCAAGGCGAGGATGGCTGGTGCGGCATGTATTTCTGCCGCAGCAGCTTCCTTTGCGACTGGACTCCGCTTATACTTAACTAAAGGAGGGATTGATTTATCTACATTACCCTTAGCACGAACCAATATCGCATTCAAATAGTGGAGTTTGATCTCGATACGCGTCAAATGCCAAGAAGTTTTGTATGGAAATTTGAAGAGCGCCACAACGGACGTAACCAGAATTAAAAATCTTCCATACAAAATTTCTTGATATTTAACACGAGACCTTAGTGTCTCCACACACGGGCCACCGACCACAACCACAAAACGCCGCCACGGGCATATTTCTTGTAGTTTTCATACATTTTAAATGGACTCGCCACACACGGTACGCCGGTGGCCGCCACACGCTACAAATCGTCGTTGCTCGCTTCTTGTGGCCCGCACCGGCCACTTAATGCGCCGATTACCCCTCTCTCATTATACCTTAGTTGGCCGCTGTCGCGCGCTTCAGCCGCTTTAGTAGCCGCTTCTAGCTTCGCGTGGGCGTTTGTGGCTGTGGCGTGTGGCCCGTGTGCGGCGACACTTAGTCAACTCTTCGAATTCGTTATTGATCCACGCTACGGGTACGGGGATTGTAAAAAATGTATGTAAAAACTTTACAAAGGTTTTCCGGTTTTCATATCCGCAATGGATATTCATGTATCCGTAACTAGATCCGAAAAAAAAACTTATCGAAAACATCCCTGATCAGAATATATAGGTAACACTTATCTAATATTAGTGATTGCGGAGTAACCAATAAGAACTCGACCCATCCCTAGTAATAAGTAACGAAATTGTTCACATCCTACGTGTGATAAAAATAAATATTATTGGTTTTTGTTTGCGCCACGCCATGGTTCTCTGAAACCAAAAATAAATTTTACAACAGTATATCTTCATCCTTTTCTTTCTGGACTGCGCAGACAAGGGGGCTTTTGCCCGCAAGACAAAACTCTTTAAAACGTGAACAACATATCCGCCGAGGATTAGCCACGGACTCAACGTACACGATGAGCGAATATTGGCCGCCCAAAAATTAGGAAAAACACACGCTATGGAAGTAAATTTACTCAGAGTACAACAAACCGTGATTTTTGAGTTTTTTTTATAGTTTTACGAATGAAAAGTGTTGCCGTGGCATTTGTTATCTAAACTTGAACTAATTTTGTGTTCTTTATAAAAGCATCGAAGGCATTGTTTTATCTTTATGACGCAAAATATACGCAATATTGTTATATTGAGTGCACATGCAGCGTGTTTGAATGTCCAATTGTGACTAAAACGAATTGTGGTCATGCACCACAATTTAAGCGGATCACTTTTGAGCCGCGAGTATCGGGAAGAAGGGAAGATGTCCCTTTTAATTTAAGATCGCAAGCGTATATAGGCTATCTTGGTCGCTTGCCATCACGGCCATATGCTTTTTTGCTACCCTGTTAACAGAAAAAGAAATAGATATACTTGTAGATGTATTGTACATATTTGATTTCCAAATGTCTCGTTTTCTCCACCGGCACCGTGGCTAATATATGCCTTTTTCTTCTTGTTCACAGGTTAAATACGATCGTCTGAAAACCACTGAGTCTATACCATTGTCCAGCAACGCAGGTCTTATTATAAGGGATTCTAGGTTCTCCCTGAGGTACGACGATGCCACAGCCACGTATACACTCTCGGTAAGTCTGTTTCTGATAATAACAAAATTTATTTATTTTTAGGGAAATAAAGGTACAAGTCTGAACTGAACCGCAGACCACAGGCCGCAGCTGCAGACTGCAGGCGACACTCCTAGTTTCTATCTTATATATAGAAATTCTCGTGTCACAATGTTAGTTACGATACTCCTCCGAAACGGTCTGGCCGATTTTTATGAAATTTTATATGCATATTCCGTGGGTCTGAGAATCGACTACTATCTATTTTTGAAACCTACAATGCGCCTTCGCGCTAAAAATTCAAACTATTGGGTATTGTAACGTAGTGTTCTCATACGGTTTAGGTGGAAAGTTATCCCAGGAAATTGATAGAACACTTCGTTACACACCCCTAAAAATTTTTTGGACATTTTTTTTTAAAATGTGGTATTAAAAATATAAACAACCCTAAATTTTCTCTTCTACCACCTGCCCCTATTTTTATGGCGGTACGAAGTTCCCTGGGTCAACTAGTGAATCTCTATGACATTGATTCCGAGCGTGGCGACATGATACACGATGACACAATGCATATAATGCACGGTCAGCCGTAGGCGCTAGCCGCAGTGACGCCTGCGGTTGTCGTCTGCAGCCCATTGCGGAATTGTACCTTAACAGCATTAATTTATACTTAAAAAATATAACATTAAGTTTAAACAATTGCCTAGGTAATTTCCACTATTATTTATCTCACATAGTGTCAGAGAAAAAAAGAGACAATTTTTGCCATTATAATGAACATAAATAAAATAAAAAGAAATAAAAATGTTGTGCCTAAAAGGAGTTACAAATTGGGTTTTTTTAATTTCAAAGAATTCAGATTGAATATATCAATGTGACTTTATTTAGAGTTGTATGATTTCATAGCTCGCACAATGTAGTTACTTGCATAATTAGCCGTCCGACCGGAATGCAAAACGTATCACGTGCTCGTAGATTTGCTCCTGGACATTTTAGCAAAATTTTACTCATGTCTTTGTCGCACTATCCGTAAATGGAATGCTTTGCCTGCTCACGTGTTCCCTCCTTCTTACAACCTGGGATCCTTTAAAAGAGGCGTGAAGAAGCAACATGTATACCGGCAAGGTGAGAATGGCTGGTGTGGCAGGTAGAACTGCTGTACCAGCAATCTTCACGTCTGGACTTCACCATCACTTAACATCAGGTGGGGTGGAGTCATTTGTCGGACCTATCTATAAATAAAAAGTCAATTAAGTTCAGTTTTAATTTGTAAAATTAAATAAATAATCAAAATATCACTACTGAATATAATTTATTAGCACATATATAATTCGCACTTGTATAAAACTAAAACACGCGTTGTGAATATAGAAACTAGAAAATAAATATTATAAATATGAAAACAGTGATCAAAGGAGACGCGCGTGCCAACATGCGCGACTTATACAGATCCTATTTTGTTGGTAGCTTTTTTCGAGACTTAATGTGTGGTTTAGCGGCCAACTTCATGGTGTGACTTTTGTGTTACAGTGAACGCTCGCGCATCTTAAAATTTCACTCTTATCATTTTTTTTCATAAAGATGTATATTTTTTTTCCACCAGATAAAGGACATACAAGAGAACGACGCCGGCTGGTACCAATGCCAAGTGCTAATTTCCATCAGTAACAAGATCACTGCTGAAGTTGAACTGCAAGTACGAAGACCGCCTATCATATCCGACAACTCGACGAGGTCCATTGTAGCTAGCGAGGGAGAGAGTAAGTATAGAAAGAAAGAGATAAAAATATTTTTTTAGTAATCCTTAATACAAAATTACAAACTAAATAATAACAGATGGCGCGTCCTCACAAAATTACTTGGCGTTTTTTCGCTTTCTTTTTGTCAAGTAACCTATATCTGAATTTCGATGTTGATGCTTAATTATTAAAAAAATACGACTGCGCTCAGTAACTTTTATTAAATTTAATGCTTGCTCGGAGTAAGGCAAGGCGACGCGGACTCGCCGTTTCGCTTGAGCCGTTTACAGAAGTGTCTATGTGCGTGTGTGTGTGTGTGTGCGTGCTTGCGTGCGTGCGTGCGTGCATGCGTGCGTGTGAGTTGCTTAAGTATCGGATCGGATTATATTTTATTTAATGCTACCATGAGCGTACCGTATCTTCCCTTTTTACCCGACTGCCAAAGAGGGAGGGTAATGTTTAGGGAGTGTATGTAAGTATGTATGTATGTCTGTTCCTTTGTGACCTCCTGTAGCCTAAACGGCTTGATGGATTTTGATGTATGAGGTATCGTTAGATTTGTCTTGATTACGGGAGTGTCATAGGATACATTTTATCCTAAAAGTCCCACGGGATAAAGACATAATAATATTTTTTCTAAATTTCCCTTTAAAAAAATATGTATGCGGTATCATTAGATTCATTTTTAGACTGTCTTAAGGTACTTAATAATTCCCGCGATATTAATTCCCTTACTGAAGTAACAAGACTACGGTATATACCGTCTTAAAATACTAACTAACTAAAAAGTGTGAAATAAAAAAGGTAAATTTAAAAAATCAAAAAACCCGACTGCTTAATTATACTTCAAATAAAAACTGAAAAGAAAAAAACAAGTCCAGTAGTCTATAATTCTGTTAATAAGGAACAAAGCTACTTTAACAGTCGGGACCCACTGTTGAAAAATATTATGTATTCTTGAATATCTAATGGGTCCCGACTGTTAAAGTAGCTTTGTTCCTTATTAACAGAATTATAGACTACTGGACTTGTTTTTTTCTTTTCAGTTTTTATTTGAAGTATAATTAAGCAGTCGGGTTTTTTGATTTTTTAAATTTACCTTTTTTATTTCTTGTTTTAATCAAATTGATATTTGGAGTCGGTGCCATGATAACCCAAGTAGTAAATGGGAATTTCATAGTTCTAGGTCAATGGAAAGTACCTTATCAAAGGACATTGAGCAAAAATGTATGGACACTGCACCCACGTCCGCCACGGCTTAAACTACATTTGATTGAAAGGTATTATAGTCATGATCATATGTGACAAAGCGCATCAAATTCCATCCCGGGGGTCTTTAGTTATTTTTGGTTAAAAAAGTACAAGTTAATACATACCTACCTATAACGAACGAACATTAATAAAATAAGGGAATTAATTTAGTTAGTTCGACTACATAGAGGGCTCAGGTATTATGGGAGTACTCCACAAGGTGCAAGGGTGCCCCCTTGTGTCATTCTGCCACGTTAGAGTAAATCCAAAAATCCCCGCATGGGTTGGGGTTTTTTCAAACTGTTCGTAATAGTAAATTCTCTTCTATATAAAACGGAGCGACCACAAACACACAAACTTGTCCACTCTTCGAAGAAAACGTGATTTCAGTTCATCCATACTAATTGACAAAACCGATAATCGTGTTCCAATGTCCAAAGCGTGTTAGATAAAATCAATCAAGTGACCGGGAGCACACAATCACAACGAAGTAAGACGAGTCGACAATTTGCAACTGCAAGTCCTTCAACCCCGTAAGCCTTTTTGAGGTGGTTCAGTAAGTGCAAGCGCAGGATGGTCGGCAGGCTTTGTCATCTATATCTGGTTGTATAGTATGATATGGCATATTATTATGGTTACTAATAATATAAAATGAAGGCACTATAAAGTGAATTTATTTAGCTACTTAAATTTTAAGTGAATTCACTTTACATGGGCATATTTAATATGCCCATTTGTCATATCTTTTGACTCCCAGGATATTTTTTTACGGTGTCATAATAAAAAAGGCTAGTATTTCATAGATCTATCGATTCATACTAATAACATTGTTGGCGGAGCTGGGTGCGTTTTGCCCATTGTTCTTTGATTCTCTTGAGTGTCATACGTTACGTTATTTTTGCAGCATACACTGACGTATCATATACAAATAAACACTTTCAGACATATCTATCGGCCCACCTAATAAGTTTGTTTGGACGGTCCCTAGCGAAATATAATTGTTATATCGAGCAAAAAGTTATTACCTACGTAGTTTTGAAGTTGATTTACTAATCATCTTTTCGTGAGTTTTTAAAATTAGTGCTCAACCATAAACACATATTTGGTACAGACCGTTGAAATGAAACTTATAAACACTAATAGCCTGCGCAGACGAGGGACTTGTCCGCCGTAATAGATCGCTTACAACTGCATTGAGTAACGCACACGGCGGATTAAAAATACCGCGGACATAGTCTCCCGAACTACCGCGGACACCGAGGGACCGGGCAGGACAAAAGTACGCGAAAGACAGCTAAAAAATAGAACAACATATGTGACAAGCAAAAGGCGGCGGATTAAGTCCGCGGTGAGCGCTCGATAGTGATGTTCTTGGTAAAGAAGTGGAAAAAAGAACTCTTGATACATCAAAAAAAAGAGTATAACGACCGAAAGGCCAAATACTTGTTGAAGGAATTCTTTAGCGTCTATAGATTTCATCATCGGTAATACAAATAAAATAATCTTAAACGAATTTATCAAATAATTGCGGAGGGTTGTCCAAGGAATTATAAACTTGAATTATAAAAACTTATAGATTAATTAACACATTTTTTTATATTGGTTTAGCTTCATGTGTTCCTAGCCTACTATTTTAAGTGATTAAATCAACTTCAATTATGTTGTTCGTATGTTTTGCATCGCTTTACGCATAAATATTTAATTATCTTTCAGAAAAATCATGAAACTTTGTTTTTTTCAACATTATAGTGAAAGCATAATAAATAATGTCAACAATACAAATTAATAAATCAATCCGATATAAAGGGATGGAACCAGTGTTCTATTTTAGAGTGTCTCGTCTTCTCATTTTCTTAAACTTATTTATTACAATACAACTTTTATCTCAGAATATTGCTTTCAAAGCGTGCGCCTCACTAACTTTCGTTGGAGACAAGTCCTCGGCATTACGGGGACAAAACTCCGTAGTCTGCGCAGGCAGTAATCTATGTAAAACCTGTCTTCAATTCCAATTTTTCGTAATAATATGTAGTACCAGAGCCGGTACCACTATAAAAATTATTGCTATTAATAGTCCAATAAGGATATTGGAAAAGGTAACAATAAACATAGTAAGGAACTGTATTATGGTCACGCTGTGAAGCAAACCCATGCGCGATGTATAAAGTAAACAGCGCCATCTAACGAATGGTTACGAAAACAAAATTGGCTTGGTTCCTTTTTAGGTACAATGTACACCAGGAGGCGCGGCGAAGATACTGAGAAATTAAAAAATTTAGTTAAACATTTACATTATATTAAGACATGCATGACACCGACTCCAAATATTAATTTGACTAAAGATGAAAAAGTTTTGTTATTTTTTACTTTTCGGCGTTATAATATTTTTGTTATTTTTTGGACTGTAACTTTTGTAATATACAACTCTGCATCAATATCTGTGAGTGAACATTCACCCTTATTTTCCAACTCTTAAGGTAGAATTTTTGTTTCTAAATCATATGGGAGCAACTTCGGGACCAATAAAAAAAGAGTTATCAAAATCAGACGTCTCTGTAAAAAGTTTTTTTTATAGATAGGTCCGACAAATGACTTTACCTCACCTGATGTTAAGTGACGGTGAAGTCCAGACGCGAAGATAGCTGATACAGCAGTTCTACCTGCCACACCAGCCATTCATGTGTGGCCATACATACATATAACATGTACGCGGCGATTTGAGAATCACCTCCGTTATTTTTCGTCGGTTAAAAACCCACATGTGTTTTCTTATTCTTTTCACACGTATAGCAAAGGCCATCATCTTTCTTAAACAAACTAAAAATTTAATTTTCGTTTGTATAGATGCGAAAATGGAATGTTACGCCGGTGGTTTCCCGCCACCGAAAATAACATGGCGTCGTGAAAACAACGCCATCTTACCTACCGGTGGCTCCATCTACAGGTAAATATTAAGAATGCATCGATAAAATTAAAGTGGTTTGTATGCCGAGGTTCAAGATGTCACCTACTCGATAGGTTCTGGGTTCGAATCCCGGTGAGGGCAGATGCTTGTGTGATGGATACGAGCATTTGTATTTGTACTGTTATGTATGTTTAATATGTATGTCTATATACACTTATATATATATCAGTATACGTATTCTATCCGTTACCCTAGTATCCCAAAACACAAGCCTTACAATGCTTACTTTGGGGCTAGGCTAATTGGTGTGAGTGTTGGAAATGTTCATTCAATATCATTACTCAATTAATGTTACCTACCATGACTGCTTATCTACTCCTGTGGGTACAAAAATGCGATAACATTAGCTTTCGGATACTTCATTGGAAGATATCCGAACATTCAATAAAAGTTCAAGTAATGTTAATTCAATTGAAGTTATTTATTTGTTTAATAAAGGGCATTTTATTGTAGAATGCGCGACCCTATCAGGGTTCATGTGTCTATATCTATATTATTATAAATATAAATAAATTAAATATTCAATACTTTGGGGCTAGGCTAATTGGCGTCAGATATATTTAAAAATCAATTTATTTTTTAATTCAATATAAACATCCATGATATGTTTTCATTCAGGGGTAACACCATAAAGATAAATGCAGTGCACAAAGAAGACAGAGGCACATATTACTGCGTAGCAGAAAACGGTGTTGGTAAAGGGGCCCGTAGAAATATCAATTTGGAAGTGGAATTCGCTCCTGTAGTCACAGTGCCACGCCCACGGTTGGGACAGGTAAGGATAATATTAGGTTCCTTTGTATTTGACACTTGAAAGATAATTTTAAGAGTTTACTTAAAAAACGAATTGAAAAGAAAAAGATTTTTTGATACACCATGAATTTTGAGTCACCTGAGAAACTTTACTAGCTAATTCAGACTATCTTTATATATATAATTCTTCTGTGAGTGTGTATGTCACTGAACTTCTCTTAAACGACGACCGATTTTGATGAAATTTTTTGTGTGTGTTCAAGGGGATCTGAGAATGGTTTAGATTCACAATTTTGTCCGCTGGACAACCCCTATTTTTTTAGGGCGGTACGAAGTTCGCTGGGTCAGCTAGTTATATATATATATATATTTCTTTTCCGAAAATGTCACCATGTCAACTCAATGAAATCTTAACAATTTAAATCGTCACTTTGATTTCAATAAAACTAACTTCTTTTAGGATTTGTGTACTTTAAATGAATAGTAATTCCATAATGGCTATGTTATTTATGAATTTGCGCCCCTTTTGGATATTTGGTTAACACGAAATTTTCACGGTGTACCTATATGTTTTTAAAGTCAAATTTGATTGTAGGTGTCGTGATATTTCCAGATTTATCTAAAGGATTCTCCTTTAATGCGTTGATAATAAAGGTCAAATTCTTATCCATATCAACACAGTTTTTGAATAACTCCTAAGTGCAAGAAAAATACTAAGCTAGTTTGTTAATTTCATGCAAATTATCGGCCAAATGGGTCAGGAATGAATTATCTTGATACTAGGTATTGTAAAAATACTGAAATGTTAGCTTAAGAAAAGTACTTGATTGCAGCTTTTTTGCGTGATTGTGTAAACCAATTCACAAACTCTCAAAATAGTATTACGCACTTACGGCGGGTACACATTGGGCGCCCTGCGTTGCGTTGTCTCGTTGATTGCATACACACGCCGCGCTCGGCTGGGCGTTCGGCGAGCGTTTAGTAGGGTGTGTTTCTAGCAGTACGAAAATGAATGCCGAAGTGATTACTTGTGTGTGGCTCCTCTACCGTCGCTATAAAAGACGGCGTATTTTTTTTTATTTTACGTCTTTTTAGCGTCTTATTTTTTTATAATCGGGACATTTCATGTCCCAAATAGCAATTTCATCAATAAAGAAATCTGTGTCAAAATGTTCGGTGTCCATTTTTCCGTTGAACTGACGTCTACACTACACCAAAGCGCGCGATCAAATGTACAACAAAATGGCGGCCCAAGTATCTCGAAGCGCGCAGCTAACGCCCGCGCAACGCGTGATCATACGTAAAATATGAGAACGCGCGTTTGACGCACGCTTGATCAGAATCGCGCGCTTGCATGTGTACACTTCAATAGAACTCCTGGTTCTCGAAACGCGCGTTAGCAAAGCGCGCGTTGGAAAACGCTCAATGTGTACACCACTTTAGGCTCGTATTACAGAATGACAACTAATGTTGTCATTGACAACATAGCGACATCCCTTTCTAACTGTTCTCAAGTAAGATCAGCACTTAGTTGTCATTCTGTAATAGAGTTTGATGACAACCTACAATCCTTTTTTAATATATATATATTTTTATATAAAGGTATAAAATTGGGCAAACATTGAAGGTATCCTTTTGTTTACATTTTAACATCTGGGTGATTCTCAGTTAAGAGGTAATCGGTTGTATGGAAGCAGCGGCACAGCAAAAAGTGTCGATATTTATATAACTATACCGCTACTTTTATCAAGACAGATGATTTTAATATGATTTTAAGATGATCAGTAATTTTTTTAATTTATTCTCGTTCTACGAGACACCAGGGGAGATACTGAGTACAGGGTAGCGACAAGATGAACTTTATTACAATGCGCTTAGAGTGCATATTAAGATGTAAAGTACTTATCCGTGCAATCAGATTTTAGTAGAATAACGATATAAAGCTAAACAATTATCTAAAATTATATGCAATTGTTCATTCTCTAATGAATTATCATTACTGTTATTGAGCTATTGCATCGCTTTTATAGTTTTGTTAGTAGCCTGGCACCATAACAGCCAGGGGAAATATGGCAGGGGAGAGACATTTTAGTTAAAAATCATAAATTGCATTACAAATAAACAAAAGGTTTGCAGCACTATTTAAAATAAATATATATAGATATTGTAGTATTTAAACACATAAATACGAAAAAAAAATACCAGGGTAAATACTTCGATCACTCAACACGGCTGCACTCATCGAGCGCCGTTGCGCAAATGGCCAAGAAAATTGCCGCGCGGATAGCTTGTGCAGCGCCTGCTGCTAACTTCACGTGACACTCGGTGTCTTCAAGGTCAGAACTACCACAGACTATGGTAAACAAATACGATTTTCAAACTAAACCTAAGGCCAGGGGGCGAGACACGAAACTTGGAGGACACAGTTTGCGATTAATATTTATTATAAAAAGTGCAAATATAAATGAATTTAATGGTTACATACTGTAACTAAGTTATCAGGGTTCATGTTATTACCGATAGAAAAGTAATAATTAAATTTCAATGGACTCAAAATTACTGTTTTACAAAAAAAAACGGTTAGGGGACAACCCAGGCGAGAGATGTTTTTCCTCTTTGTGCTGTTATTGTAAGTAAATTATGCACATTTAGAATATAATTTTAAGTGACAATTTAGAACACATTTAGTTAATTGAAATTATTAAGATTTTAGACCATAATTTCCAAATATAATGATTTTTTTGGCTTAGCCGTCGAACATACCTCTTAACTGAGAATCACCCATCTAGCTCTTAAATGCTTAAAAAATAAAAATATAACTAGAAATAAATATGTTCTTTATTAATGATGAAATTTCTATTACAGGCTCTCCAATATGATATGGACTTGGAATGCCATGTGGAAGCTTATCCCCCACCCGCTATCACTTGGCTGAAAGACGAAATACAGCTTTCTAACAACCAACATTACAGGTAAGTTAAATACACATTAAAAAAAATACACACTGACATTATAATATATTGTTTATACAAAGAAAAAATTGGGATTTAAAGACATTTTATTGGCTTCCGATCAGTAAACATCTCAGAAAATCGAATACTGTCTTTCATTTGGGCACTCATTTTGCAAGCCTATTTATTACAATTCTTATTATATCACACATTATGTGACAAAACGTCTATGACTCAGAAGCTGTAGATATTATGCAACTTCTGAAGTTTACTAGCGTGTGATGTCATTTTAGTATTAATATTTTGTTCTCTCAGAATAGTAAAATCGTTGCTAATCTTTATATATATAATTCTTCTGTGAGTGTGTATGTCACTGAACTTCTCTTAAACGACTGGACCGATTTTGATGAAATTTTTTGTGTGTGTTCAAGGGGATCTGAGTATGGTTTAGATTCACAATTTTGTCCGCTGGACAATGTTTTTTTAATTAATTTTTAATTTATTAGTAGTTGTTGATTTTGGAATGTTTTACATTGGATCCGACAGACGGCGCTATAACATTTGAATAATAATTTTCATTAAAATGGTCCAGAATGTTTTAGCTTATTAAAAAAAGTTTGAAATTTTCAAATTAAAGACGTGTAGACAGGACAACGTCTGTCGGGTCCGCTAGTATTCATATAAAATACAGATGCCAACAATTGGTACTTAATTTTTTTATACCGGCAAATAGCCTTTTCCACATTTATTTTTCTAAAACAGAATAGCAACCTTTCTTAATTATCTTTTCTTTAAGTTCTCCCTTTTCTGGGAAGGCAAGGGAAACAATGCCCGTACAGTACAGCCCCTGGTCTTTAGTTTATTTATTTTACTTATTTATACCCCATTAATTAAATGTTTCTGTTTATCTATTCTTTATTGTGTACCTTGAAAGTTTAACACGTTTTTCCCCTACTAGGATATCTCACTTCGCCACGGCAGACGAATTCACCGACACCACATTGCGTGTGATCACGATCGAGAAACGACAGTACGGCATGTTCACTTGCAAAGCTCAGAACAAGCTGGGAACGGATGAAGGCAGAGTGGAGTTGTTCGGTGAGTACAAAAGGATAAAATTATAAGAGAATTTAATCAAATTAAAATTTATATAATATTGTCATAAACGCTCTCGAAACAAAACCGCGAAAATACTGGAGACAGATTTTACCAGAATTAAACCAAAATAAAGTTTATAATATTGTCACAAACGCTCTCGAAACAAAACCGAAAAATACTGGAGACAGATTTTACCAGTACCCCTAGCACGAACCATTATCGAATTCGAATCGTTTGCGAGTCGGAAATGTCAATGTCAAATTTTGTATGGAAACTTGAACTTCAGCACCACAAAGTCCTTAACTTGAACTAAAAATCAGTACATATTTGACAATGACATTTCTTACTCGCATTCGATACGAACTCGATATTGGTTCGTGCTAAGGGTACTGAACACCTCGGGTCGCGATGTGAATTTTCGCAACACAGGTCGAGTGGTGCGGCTCATTTTAATATGAGCCTTATGCAGTGCTCTGTAAGGGAGAAAGTGCAATGACATCTGCACTTGTTTACAACTTATGCGCGTTACCTACGTATAAGTTAGTATACGCATTCGCGAGTGCTAGTTAAGTCTCAATTTAACGTGCCTTTTCTAGAATGCGTCGATAGGGTATTTGACAAGTTTTAGAAAACGATCTCACGTTATTGACTAATGTTTATGGAGTCCGTGAAAAGTGGATATTCATCATTCTGTTGTGTATTTCAGTAAAAAAACCATGTTAAAAACTCCATTTTCAAGTTGCCGCGAAAACTTTTCTCTGAACAATATGGCGTCTTACTAGTGTGTGACGTCACACGACTGTTATTAAAACGTCAAACGATACAATGTTATGTCACTTTAACCGGAAGTTTACTTGCGTGTGACGTCATTTTAGGCTCGGCCAATCCCAAGCGTTTTGGGTCACGTGACAATAGATAAGAAAACTATTACCTTTTTCGTGGGTTTTTAGTAAAATTATGATTATCTTTATGCAAAAATAGTAAAAACCCCTGCCAGTATTCATTCTAAACACAGATGCTAACAATTGGCACTTTATTTTTAATATTGTCAAATACCCTATTGGCGTAATCAGCGCCGCCCAGTAGACAGTTGAGTTTCAACAGCGATTTCTTAGCAGTAAGCTAGATATCGGCTAAATTATACAATTTAATTGCAGTGTGTTTTATAACTGTTTAGATCCAAAGAAATTGCAACATGAAATAAAATACTGTTTCTACGCTTTTGAAATCGCATGCGATGTTACAATGTTGGTAATGATCAATTGTTTTTAATATATTCTCCAATACGTAGGCAACATTGTAATTAATTAGTTTTTTTTCTGTATAGCCCTCTTTAATGTCTAATTCTAACTCTTATCAAAGCATACTTCCAGTGTCAAACATTAACCTAAATTAAGTTTGAAATATGTAAAAATCTTTTGAGTGTATTTGTTTCTTAGGTTTTCACGCACATCACTCATTAAATAAAACTACTTTTTCACGTGTTAATGGACACAATAAAAAATTTATTCCGACGACGCAGCCGGCAAAGGCTGCGAAACGTCAATAAATAAATAAAGTTTCGTGCATTAACCCGTGAAAAACTAGTTTTATTTATCTTTTAAGTGATAAAGTGCAGAAACGGTGATAAGAGTTATAATTAAAAATATTACTTCCAAGGTCTGTTTTGAATTATTTATCTAGTGGAGCATTTATTTATTATTTTAGATAATTGAAATTTTTTGTTTACCCTATTACTCAGAATGATTTGAATAAATTTGTTGAATGGGGAAGAAAACGCAAAGCTCGCGTTACAGATGGCGCTTTAGCCGTATGGTCCTTAACAAGTAATCTGTCACTTCAAAGCTGCGTTTTAAGCCTTCGCTCCAAGTCCAACTTTGACGTTTCAATTTTGACATAAAATATATGATGAAACTTATGTCAAAGGGTCTCGCCGGGTTTCCATATGAAATCTACACTGGCGTCTTTTTGAAATTGGTGCCTTTAAGATGTTGCTAGTAGTTTAAAATAATTTTTGGCCAATTATCAAACCCCTAACTCCATTCGTTTTTGGAAAATGAGGGTTGCAACCCCTAACTTCAAAATTATTTTTCTACGAAACTAAAACATATATTCGCATGAAACCAACGTGACATGAAAGCGCTTAATTAGCTTTACATTACATATTTTTTTATAATTTTTTAAATAACTATAGGGTTGCAAAAAAAATATAAAAAAAATAGGGGTGGTTTTTAGTAGCTATTTCTTGAGGTACGCCGACCAAAAAAAAAACGTATAAACAGTACGTATCCAACTATAATAGAAGTAAGTGGACACATATTGAATTCTAGCTAATTCAATAAAAGTCACTTAAATTAAAACAGCATTTTCCATGAAATATTAATCTTTTATTTTCCATATAAAAATATTGAATTAATTTAATCGTCGTCACTATTTTCTTCTATAGTTGTAGTGATATTTGTAACATCAAAAATTATAGTTATGTTTTTATTTATTTTTAAGCATTTAACTGCTAGATGTTTAAATCTAAAGAAAAAATCAAAAATTATTTTAAACTACTAGCAACATCTTAAAGGCACCTATGTCAAAAAAGACGCCAGTGCAGATTTCATATGGAAACCCGGCGAGACCCTATGCTATTTGTTGCACCTGGAGCGTATGTTTGAGACGTAGCCCAAGTCTATCGGAATTTGTCGGTGTCCTTGTGAGTTGTGGCAGCTTCCTCGATTTCTTGTTAAAGGTCATACAACACCTCTGGCGGGATAAATTAGCCAGTTTTCTTGCCCATTACTTTTGCATGCTGCATGATTACAAAACCACAGAAATAAGTTACCTGAAATCAACGCTGTGGCTTGTTGCATCGCGTAGAAACAACGATATTAAATACCCCAGATACACCACGTGCGCTCAAAATGTGTCCCAATCAAGAAGTGCTTGAACTCCACTCAAGCACTTCTTGGTTTACAGTCACGCGCGGGCCGTTGAAAAGTCAATTTGTCGCGGAGCTCAGTGAAAAAATGCGAAAAAATACAATAGTATGTGAAGTGTCGTTTTTTCGACAGGTATCTAATCAATGTTTGTTAATTTAACGCATTTAAAGCAAGATTCATTGAAAAACGGACCCTATAATATTGATTCATATTCTGATTAAGCAGCTTAGGCTACTTATGAAGTTTACGTTGAGAGAAAAAATCAGTGCAAAAAGAACTTTTACAACGCCATCTATTGACGCCTGGTGTGACACAAGAGATAGGCCGATTTTGTATTAAATTTTAACACATTTTTATTTAATTGTAGAAGAAGAATCAGATTATGAATAATTGTGACTTAGGCCGCTTTTGCGCTGACAGCCTCATTAATACCTTGGCCTCTGGCTGAAAATCAGCGTCATGGCATGTGCTGAGCTGGGGACTTTTGCCACTGCAACACCATTTTTTTGCAGTTGATACTGTATTTTGTATGTTAATGTAGTACTGCCCCCACGGGGATTCGAATTCGAAGTTGGCAAAATAAATTTTCTGTCTTGTGAACCAACTAATATCCTCCCTTATCTGATATTTTATCTGATAATAAAAAAAGGTAATAAGTCTTCTAGAATTAAAATAAAATTTCAATCTAAAAGTCTGAAGAACAAGAAGAATAGACTTAATAATAACATAGAAATTTAGCTAACTTTTCTACTGCAGTCAATCCGCTCCCTACGTTACAATCATCGTCAATATTTGTTCTATGCAAATTGCTAACCAATGTCCTCTTTCACAATACAAACCTAATAATAGTAATCTTACGCTGTTAAACCAAAGATCTGATTTTGAAAAACAGACCTTAAAGTGTTAGTAGTTTAGGTAACTTTTTGCTTGTTGTGACGCGTAGAAACCATCGTCTCCTTTTGTAGCCAAGAGAATATAGTGGCGCTGCGAAAATCGCTCTGTCCGCAGCTTTCTTTGCTACAATAGCCGCTGCGATGTGTTCGTCTAACTACAGACCGCGTTTTAATATTAGGTATTATAGTAGTCTCCCTTGATAATACACAATGTTCACACTAAAGATCTGGTGATGGAAAACATATCTTTAAACAGATTTTAGGTTAACTTAATTACGGCAGACAATCCGCTCCCTTCAGTAACTACCCTTGCTGCCATCGTATTTATTCTGTATATTTATTTATTTGTTCAAAGATCCGATGAAAAACAGACCTTAGAGTTTAGGTAACTTGTCTCGTGGTAACTTGATGGCTTGGCTTGATGGTGTAATTTGTTGTGTCGCGTAGAAACCATCATTCCCGTATGCCCGCCCGCTTGTGGCCAAGCGAGATATGGCGGCGCCGCGTCGATAGCTCCGTCCGCAGCTACTATATTAGCTCTCCTTGCTACCAACGCCGCTGCGATGTTCGCGAGGTAAGTAAGACATATGAAGAGTACAGGGAAAGAATGATCAATTCTTTTATAAATTACAAGATAAATTATTTCTTAACTTAGAAGACTCAAGTACTTGAAGAAATGGCACAATAATAATAATTTCTGTCTTAAAATCACTGCTAATACTTTGCTTTCATTATTTACTAAAAAAAAGTATTTTGTATTTTAAATGAGAATTATTTCATATTTTTCAAGTTCAGGCCCAAACCAAAATCATATAAATGATAGTCTTAGTGGAAATATTCAAAAATGATCAAAGTAATTGTAATTGTGGCTGATAAGTAAAATAATCTTGAGCTTTTTGGAAGCAAAATGGTTTCAAATGTTGTAAATCACTGTACAGAGCCTTTTTTAGCCGTTCGAAAACTAGAATAGTTGTGCACACAATTGAAATAAACAGTTACCCTAATCGGGCATGCAATAGTCATTTTCACAAAACATTATTAAAATATTCATTAAGATTATAAAATGTATTATATAATAACCATTGCTTCAGGGACCTTACAAACTTATATTCAGGAAGTGACCGCAGATAAAGGGGTAAATTATTGTATTCATATGGCAGACATATAAGTACTTTTTTTCAAAAATTGCTGAATTTGACCGAGGTAAATATAATTTGCCTTCACGTCTCATCGGGGTTATTCTAGCTCTCTTGTCAGAGATCTTTGGGAATTCAGACATATATTAACCTTGTAAGAACGATCAAAGATCCGATCGAAAAGAAACGATCAGAGTCCGAGGCCTTTGATCGTTTTTAACTTTTACTGCTTACACTATGATCACTAATAACTTTTATGTAAATAAATAAAACGTGATTTCTGTGACAAAATCACGTTTGTACATTTATATTCTTTTCATGCCTAGTGACAATCAAGCTTAGCGTCTTACGAACTAGATGGCGTTATTAACCTCAGAGCAGTTTTTGGGTGACTTTGATCGCTCTTTCCCTGTGCTCTTCATATAGATTAGGTCAATAAGAAACTCAAAATGCGATCAATCCCTTAGGGGTGGTCATAAGGTGCCCTTGCAGCCGGCAGTCAATAGGGGTAAGACGGGGTAAAATAAAGAAATTCTGTTTAGTTCGTCATTTTTAGATTATTAAAAAAGTAATGGATAGTTGCTCCTTGTTTCATTTGTCAATCAACCAAATAGTACATTACGATACGCGGGCCACAAGTATCGTATACTATTTTATAGCAAGTGTGACATAAACCCGCCCCGGACGCGGGCAAGAGGGGGGGGATGCGATTAGTGTTTTGAAAGTAAAATTCATGTATTGCAATCACAAAGAATTGCAATACAGACTACAAGTCAAACTCTGAAAAGAAAGAATTCCGGTTCAGATTACCATTTTGAAAGTATATTTCAAAAGGAAAAAATCAAATATCATTACAACAAAATAGAATTTCAATGTATCCATGAACGTTTATTCCTTGATTGGCATAGTAAAGTTAAGTTACGCGTATCGTAATGTACTAATTCTACATGAGTGAAGTTGGTCAATTCATTTACACACCGTGCAGAAATAGGCAACTTAGGTCACGGAAAAGCGTGCGTAAAGTGCGGGTTTAGGTCACACTGTGCTATAAAAATTACAAAGACAAAGCGCGTTAAAGTTAAGGAGTGGGGCTGGTGACGTCACTTCTAAGTAAAAATTGTACCAAGGCGTGTAACGTCATGTGACATTTCAATATTGATTTGTAACACAATCTCTGCAATTTTTTGACCATGTGAATAAAGAAAAATGCGTGTCCAATACTTTTTGATAATTTATCTATAATAGACGAAGCTTAATGATGAAAAACCATCAGTCACCATCCATGACTGAAAAAGTCATCAGGTGACTGAGTTCTCAACAGTTATCCTAGAATAGATCACAGGTAATTATCCAATAGTCATAACCTCGACTGTTAGTGAAATGTCAGCAAAACCACCCGTCTAATGGCCGCCTTAAGATAATATTGTCTTAAAAGAACAAAAATGTAGGAATAGAATCGCTTAGTTTTTTGGCAATTTTAAAGTTATATTTTTGGATTTTTTATGCATTCAACTGCTAGATGTTTAAAACTAAAGAATTTTTTTACTAGAAAATCTACTTGGTCCAGGCAGCAGACGGGGCTCGTCAGGGCCGCAGTAGCATACTGGTCAGTGCATTCGCCTGGATAGCGAAGGGTGCGGGTTCGAGTACCGTCTGGTGCCTGGTCCGCGTGGAATTTTTTCTAGTATTTTTTTTTTAATTTTAAAGTTGTTTTATAGTAATACTAGTTTGACTATATTATTATGTTTTGGACTGATGTATAATGTTTATTCTTTTTTTTTTGAGCTTGCAGCATCATGATATTTTAGTAAAAAAACTATGAAGCATGATTCTTTTGTTAAGTATACATACATTCTATGTTTTCTTGTTGAAAAATAATCAATAATGAAAGCTGTAGAAACATTGTTATAACTAGCAACACTGGATTTTTTTAATACAGTCAGAAGTTGCTATTCGAAAAAGAGCAGTATTGCGGTAGCGAGCGAAAGCGAGATTGTGTTCTTTAAGTACCCCCCCCCCCCCTTGTTTAGGTATTCAAATTGTAATGCTCATATAATTGCAATAAAGTATTTTATTATTATTATAATATGAATTAGTCTTATATACTAAAATTAGTACTGAATTTGTAGTAGTTTTACGTGCTAAATGAGACTGTCTTTTTTTTCCAGAGTCTTCAGTACCAAACATTAACTACAGAGGTTTGAGGCCGGATCCGTTGTACTATTCAAAGTCTGAATCGTCACATATCTCGACTATATCACTGATATTTTGTACTTTACTACCGTTTTATTTCAACTGGTAACATTTTGGTAGGAATAACATTGCTACGACAAGCGGTTACCTATGTTAAGGCTTTAAAAAACCCTCAGTGTTTGCATGTGTAAGAACTACCAAATATATATATATGAAACAATAACAAATAAATTAACAACACTTGCAGAAAAAATAGGGTCCTTCAAAGGTACGGAAACTTTTAAAATTGCAGTGAGAGTGGGACCCTTATGCATGGCCATAGTGAAAGCACCATGAATTCTAAAACTAAAATAAGGTTCACCTTATGATAAAATACATCAAAGGATAAGGTATTTGTTTCGAAAATAACTATTTTAAAATAATCGCCTATAAAGGTGATAGTTGCTTGCGCTGAATGTAGCTATAAGTAAAGGAATTCCTCCCATTTTTTTATATGGGCTTCAAACGAAAATGGCCTTTAGTGACAGGCCTACAACCTTTGCACGTATTAAAAGAATTTCTTAATCTTTTGTAAGTAAAAACGTGTCGGTATCAGATCATGTGACACCTGTCAATTGTTCACATGACAGCTAGTGTTTAGGAAAGTAGTGATTATTAATACATAGATATACAGAGAACTTCTGTCAAATGTCAAAACGTCAAATTTGCTTGAACTATTTTTAACTTAGAAATAACTAACGATTGTTGGGTTACAATAAATTCGAGATTTTTTGGAATGTTGTTACCTGTAGTAAATGTTATAAGTTTTTTACTGGTGTTTATAAATCTTTATCGTATTTAATAATAAAAACATATTCTTAAACGAATTGGTAACTACCTACGGTAACAACTTATTTATTGCAATTTAAATTATTTCACTATGTTTTTTTTTCATTAGTAAAATCACAATTCGCCATTTTTCATTTAAGATTAGGGAAACTGATTTAACTATGGCTGTTGTTTGTCATAAATTTAAGATAGATAATAATTGCCGTAAAACTAAACAAAAAACTTGTAATGTAGTACCTAAATCGAGTTTTAAATGTTTTGTCAAGTAAATGAATAGAAATAAGGGGCTGTTTAAGTATTACGTAAGCAGGTTTATTACAATTATTTACCCCCTTCTCCCCCTTAGTAAGTAAAAGTAAACAAAGCTCTCCCCCCGTCTCCCCTCCAAGCTACGTTAATATTGGAAAAATACATTAATACCTATATGTATTTTTCCTTCAATTTATTCTGTTTTTTTATTGATTCATGAGCTTTCATAAGCTCCATGAGCAGCAGTACTTAAATAGGCTTAGTATAGAGGACATTAACGCACATGATATTCATTTAAACAAACTTTATTGACACATCATTCAACATAGAGTAAGGTACAAATATTATAATCTTACTAGCTGTCGCAGCGAACTTGGTACCGCGATAAAAATTGGGGCACGTGGTAGAACAGAAAATTTAGGGTTGTATGTATTTTTTTATACAACATTAAAAAAAATGTCCAAAAAAATTTAGGGGTGTGTACGTAGTGATCTATCAATTTCCTGGGATAACATTCCTCCTAACCCATATGAGAACACTACGTTACAATACCCAATAGTTTGAATTTTGGCGCGAAGGCGCATTGAAGGCTTCAGAACACTACGTTACAGGTGGACAACCATTATCGCTTAAGGATATGAAAAATAGATAGTAGCCGATTCTCAGGCCTACTAAATATGCATATAAAATTTCATAAAAATCGGTCAAGCCGTTTCGAAATAGTATGGTAACTAATATTGTGACACGAGAATTTTATATATAAGATTAAGTACTAAGTACATTACGAACAAAACAAACTTCTTTCTAATTTTTGGTATACATATTAATTCCAATTAACTGTCTTCAGTCCTCCATGTCATCAAAAATTAGTAAAGTGCAAACCCCCCGAAGAGAAGCGAAGAGAAAAAGAAAAAGAAGAATAGGGGGCCACTCCTATAGTGCTTACGTAATACTTGAACGGTCCCTAATTATATAAATTAAGATGTTAGGTTAGACTGTAGATTTTTACCTTACCTGACGATTCCATGGAAATGGTGATTTTTATATTTTTATACGAAAACAAAATATCAGTATTTTCCAAAAAAAAAAAGAATTGAAATTCAAACATTCCTGATCGAATCTTCGATCTATTTAGTGAATAAAAATTGATTCTAATAATTATTAACATTGTACACCTATCTTATTTTTCGATTTTTAATAAATCGAGATTCGCGAGCAGCCTAGGGATTGCGCGAAAACGCGAATAATTAGATAATTGCAATGATATTGCTCACTTCAACTGTTATTGTTTTTTTTGCCATGGCCAAAACATTAAGCTAACCTAGTGTCAAACTCAAACTCATTTATTTAGTCTAGGCTGTTACAAGCTCTTGTGAAAGTCAAACGCTACTACATCGGTTCGTAAATCTACGGCGGGAGACCTTGTACTGAGAAGAACCGGCAAGAAACTCAGCAAGGGCTATTTTTTTCTCCCTGTTTTGTTTCATACAGAGTCGTCAAATGAAAGATAACATCAAAAATTTAAAACATGTGTTGATGACAACTTTCATCACTAATTAATATTATTAATTGAAATTGTGTGAAATATTACTCGTGTGAACCTAAGAACCCAAACACCCAGATATATCAGTAATAAGCTAACGATTCTTTTCTGTAATGTTACTAAGGCGATTCGCGTTCACGCAATAATTGTATCTTTTTTTTTCAGTAAGATTGAACAATGGCATCGCCATGGTCCAATTATCCAAATTTTCGCAAAATCCCTAGGATAATCGCGAAAATTCGATTTATTAAATCATCGTTCCACATATGCAAAGATTGGTTCAAACTTCAACTATTCTGCTTTTCAATAATGTTTTAACTTGAAATTATTAAGACTCAAAACCTTTAGGCCTAAGTGACACTTATACATTAAGATTAGTAATTTGTTATAATTAAGTCTTGGATATTTTGAAAGTTTTGATTACTTTTGGACTGTAATATTCCATCCATTTTTTTCGTGTAATTTTATTGTAAAATGTCAATTTAGATTTTTGATGAAATGTGACTTTTTGACAGTGTTTTTAATGGTCTATAAGGTTTTACAAGCTTTAGCGCACACTACTCGTTTGACGGATTGCAAAACTTTAATGTTGTTTGATTATAAAGTTTGGAAACTATTTGGTTAAAAGTCTTCTAAGATCTACATAAAAAGACTGAGCATTTACCGTTAAAATGGAATATTTAAATGATTTTACCCGAACAAAATTAGGAGCAGCTAAATCTTTACTCTCTGCCAGCGGGATTGTGTTTACTTAGGGTGTATTCCGAAATATAAACCAGTACAACACGCATAGTGACAACACTATTACTACACCAGTGCAAAATGGCGTCGAAATCATGACGTCGTTACCGCTGGCCAGCGTACTGGTGTTTGATTCGGAATACACCCTAAATCATATTATCTAGAGAGCTGAAAATTTAACAAAATGTGAAACCTGTACCGTAAGCACGATCCAATATCGCATTTGAATAGTTTAATACGATCTCGATACGCGTCAAATGTCAAGAAGTTGACCAGAGAAGAAGACCTTACGAGAATTCAAATCTTCCATACAAAATTTCTTGAGATCGAATTCGAATAGTCGAATATATAGGTTTGTACTAAGGGTACTGGTTAATTCAACCTTTTTTGTTTGGCCTTAAAAGCTGTATACGATATTATGGAACTTTTTTTTTTATTCAACTCTCACTTCTTTCTGGTAAAATTGCTTTAACTGTATTTATAAACCTGGCAGCTAAATGTAAGCTTAATTAAACAATAACATTCTCACTTATATGATTTTTGCTTTTGTATATTTTTTTAATGTAAGTATTTACAATTTCACGAATCTCGATGTAGAAAAAAGTGTTGTGTAGTATATTTTGCATTATTTTTTTGTGTTGAATAAAGAGTTTTTGAATGTAACATATCTTTTATTTGCCAGTTATTTCACAGGCTACCTGTCTGTATACTGTACAATAAGGTAACCAAAGGCCCAAGCATGGAGGTTAGATAAGGAGAACGATCGTTGTAGAAAATAGTGACCTAGAAATATGGACAAAATAGGTGTTGTCTGTAATAATATTATTTAGTTTTCAAAGTCATCGATGGATGGCGTTACTCTGTTGTGTTCTATATTTTTCTATGATTGTTCTGGATCACGGTATTTAGTTTGTTTTTTGAATATGCTTAAGTTCATTAATATTTTGAAATAGACAACCTTTGCCATAGATCTCGGTGTTTTAATTCTCGGAATTTTGATTTTCTGTCTCATTAATTATCAAAAAAAAAACATCATGCAGGTTTACCTCTTATTTTGATATTGAATTAAATAGAATTACTATCAAAAAATTTCATAAAACTAATCTATTATCATTGAACTACTGAAATATGTATATAATTATATTTTTATAATTAGTTCATTAATAATTATTTTATAGGACTCTAAACATCACCCGTAAAAATCTACCTACGCGCGGATTAGTACGGTAGCGGTGCAATTTTGTAAAAGGGCTCTTAATAACACAGACTTTTTGGGATTTGACTAATAAGTAAGGCGCTGCGATCGCTAAGTTGTCTCAACAAAAGCGAGCTTATTTGAAATGACCAATGCCGCGTAGAAAATTTGTACATTATTCAACTAACTTCATCTGCTTGTACACATAAACAGCTAACTTCACAAATACTAATACTACTTACCGACGGCAGCGCGGCTGGTGGCTGAAAAATGAATTATAAATTCTACAAATTTTCAGGGACAGGCGGGTTAATGCTTTAGTACAAAGCGATCGTTCTCCTTCTCTCTAACTTCGATGGAATGGCAAGAATTTTGACAGCTGCATAACCGTATCGTTATCGTCAAATTTTGTATGGATGGAACCAGTTTGTTCTTACGTCCGGTAGGGCGCTGCTTATCTATCATAGAAACTTTGACGATGAGATACGATTACCTTTTAGCACGAACCAATATCGAATTCGAATAGGTTGCAAGTGCGAAATGTCATTGTCAAATTTTGTATGAAAACTTGAACAGCAACGCCATAACGTTCGTAACGGAAACTAAAAATCAGTACATATTTGACAATGACATTCCGCACTCGCAAACTATTCGAATTCGATATTAAGTGCTAGGGGTACAGTACCCTGATTTTTAGTACTCGTTACGTCCGCTGTGGCGCTGCTGTTCAAAGGAGATTGCTCAGCTTCCATACATGTTTGGCCTAAAGACCAATAATCATGAAAAATTGTTTCCTAGATTCGAAATTATATATAAATTACTGTAGAAACGAATATTATTGACGGACACCCCCGAGAACTTCTATAAACCATATACACTGAAAATATTAAAATAATAAAAAACAAATAAGTTATACAGTAAACTAGGGAAATTAAGCCAAGTACCGAAATTATGGATTAGATTCAGGTATATAGAGCATGTAGATTTACAGATAGTTGCCTGTTTTTAATGTTAATGCATAAGAGTAACTTTTAAAATCGGGTGTCATTTCCGGTTATAATAAGGTACTCTGTGACAGAAACTGTGTGATGATTGTGAATGAGCCACAGATTAGAGAGAATTTTTAAATTCTCGTTAACCAAAGAAAGCTAAGGGATTTATGTTATATAGCCATATATTCAGTAGCTTCATTATTTTTGTTATGTTTTTAAGATAACCATATTTTAGATTTTTAGTGTATCACACCTTATAATTTTATTAATTTATAGTCAGGGAACGTAGGCCCATAGATAGATACCTTAAAGTCTAACATATATACAGATTATAATGTGTTTATGGAGGTGTTTGGCGAAAAATGTATGGCAATAGACTTTATGATGTCGCCTACCATCTATAATAATTGTCTCAGCACATTTGCATCTAGTGAAAATAATAATATAGTTGTGAATATTAATACCACAGTATAATAAAAAAATGATTTATTTTATCCATCTTTACAAAATAGATTTGTTTTTATGTTATATAAACAACTTTGATCAGTCTTTGGCTGAATGTTACTACACCCATAGCCATTAAAAATGATTCGTATGTTTTCCAAACCGGTAAAATTAAAAGTCCTTTTTAAAGTAAATATATTATACAAAGGTGTCCGTTGAAATCCAATGACTGTAAATTAAATTATAAATTACGCCAAGAATTACCGTGTATGTCAATATTTTTTGTGCATTTAGGCCAATCTGAGCAATCTCCTTTCCATACATTTTTTGACAATGACATTTCTGACCTGACAATATTCGTGCTTGGACCTCAGATTTATGTAAATTAGGCTCACAAGTAGTGAAATGCATGTAGGTTAAAAAAAATAATTAACTAAATGTATGTTAGTAAAAAGGTAAATAAAAAAAGATGTTTCTTAAAAACTTCTTTAATACATTTTTTAATATTATTATTAACAACATATTCTCTAAAACCAAACTCCTTAATCTATGCCTTACAAATAGTTTTGGCCGCTGGTTTAGAAAAAAAATATATTTAAACTATCCGCCATTCCAGCGAATGAATGATGGATGTTGCAGAAAATAATGCCCAAATACCGTAATATATGAATGTAAATATAGACGAACGAAAATATACTACCTAATAGCTTTACTGTTTAACGGTAACTTTGACTTTGACATTTGACCAATCATCATTGTTAAATAAAGTCTAATGACTTTATCTCACTTTCACTTTATTTATTAACGAATAAAGTCAAGCCTAACTAAGATTTGGATGTTACAAGTCTAGCTTTGAATTATTAAACAAGTATCAAGATCTAAATGTCACAGTTATTATTAAAAAAAGTCAAAACTTAAGTCGATATAAATCGACGTTGAATTAAATCTGATTTTACATTGATTTTAATAACATAGGTGTCGATTTTGGTATGAATCTCTAAACTTAAAGCTAAATTTCACATCAGTCTCTCCTTTTCATTCTATATTGAGAATGACAAGGATGCACTGTTGTCAAATTTATGTTTAGGTTTAGAGAATCATGCCAGATTCGGCACCAATGTCTAACTTTTGTTCACCGTCCTACAGTAAAACAAAATTACTATATAATGTCCATAATGTTTATATAATAGCTTTAAATATGTATTGGACTGAAATAGCGGATTATATTATATTTTGAGAAAGAGGTATTTTCCTATTATTCTACTCATACAATAGAGACGATATGATCTTTAAAGTTTATGTTTATTATAAGGTATTGAAAGAGACCAGTAACATGGCATATTGACTTCTATAATTGTGTGGCATTGATTCCATTGTATGACCTCAAGATAATCGGATATTTGCAACTTATATTTCATAATAAAAGATTTGCAATCTGTATTCTTTTTATACCACTTTCTCCCTCTCTAAGGAAAAGGATATCTTATTAAAAGTGATTAAGTGATAATATACTTTATACAATATTAACAAAACAGTTAAAGTAATATTAAGTAATTTGTAATAATTACAATAAGTACCTAATTTAAATTTGGTACTAGATTAGATGGGACTCTTTTCATTATTCTTTAATTGCACATTTTGATTTTTTTTAACAACGGCAGTTCTATATAATGTCATGTATTTTGTTGATAAAACCCTCATCGCATAAGAAACTGTCCGAATATAAACAATTTTTGTTTTCTAAATCTAAAAAATGATAGAGATTACTTTAATTGAATTCTATTCCAGATTCGGATGTACAACTTTTTTACATTCGGAAAGTATCTTTACTAAATAGGAGAAGATCTTCCGAATCTCTCCTAAATGGGGAAACTTAAAACTTCTTGTTTCAAATCAGTGTTTCATGTATTTGGCCTGATATTTTTATTTATTATTTTTAAAATACATTCGATATCACCGACCATAGAGCGTATATGGCGAAACAGTAGAAAAGTACTCGTACTAACTGATGAAGGTAGTACAATCTGAAATAGAAAAAAAAGTATGTTTATTAATTGAAATGAGATTAATTTAATTTATTGAATACTAGCTGTGCCCCGCTGTATGGTAGCGGTTGATTAGAGATATTTTCCCACAGTAAAACGTAGCATTTGTCCTATCCAGTGTGTCAGCTAACTCCATATCAAATTTTATTAAAATCGCTCCAGCCGTTTAAACGTGAGGAAGTAACAAACGTACACACCCACAAACTTTCGCCTTTATAATATTAGTGTAATAATATGTATATTTCTGTTAATACATTGCAAATGTTTTATTTTGGCATTCCATTTAATTGAGCAAAAATTTACTTAATAAGTTTTATCCCAGATTAGAAAATTTAGCCCCTTTGCAAATCATATATTTATTGGAATGTATTTTATCTGCTATTTGATTTGTATCTTGCTGAGGTACGGCTGAAAATACTCATAAAGTAATTTGCTTTCTGCAATTTTACGGGAATCTTCCCAATTTTTCCGGAATATATTGCGTAATAAATATTACCACTGGATAAAAATTTGGAAACATTCTTTGGAATATTACCAATTAATTCGGATTACAGGAAATTAATTAATTTAAATGTATAATGTAATGTGTAATATTCCAAAGAATGTTTCCAAAGTTTTTATTCAGTGGTAATATTTATTATAAAATATATTTCCGGGAACAACATATCACTATGAGTACTGAAAATATGAGAAGAAAATTACCTTTTCCATTTCATCCGGGCCTGTAATAAGGTAGCATCACTCTCTTTAAACAGGTATCTCCTAATTCCCGCGAGATACTCGTCAAAATATTCGTTCCAGTCCACATCAGCCATGCTGAATGGGAAGATCTGGAAATGTCAGAGGTAACTTGGTGTAACTCGTGTCATTAAGAGCGGACGCGAGCTGAGAGATATTTGAGAAAACTATTTCTGGGCGCGCATTGGCAAATACCGTGCGATAAGGACAACGGTAGCTAACGCTGAAAATTGCCTATAAAACTGCTGTACTGTTACCGTACGTCCCCTAGTACGAACCATTATCGAATTCGAATAGTTTGGAAACCGAAATGTCAATGTCAAATTTTGTATGGAAACTTGAACAGCAGCGGCACCAAGTACGTAACGAGAACTAAAAATCAGTACATATTGTACGGACTCGCAAACGATACGAATTCTATATCTGTTCGTGCTAGGGGTACAGTACGCTTAGCACGAACCAATATCGAATTCGTAACGTTTGCGAGTCCGAAATGTCATTGTCAAATGTGTACCGATTTTTGGTTCCCGTTTCGTCCTTTGTGGCGCTGCTGTTGAAGTTTCCATCATTCTTCTTTTTCAAGGGATTCCATACAAAATTTGACATTGACATTTGGGACTCGCAAACTATTCGATTTTGGTTCATGCTAGGGCTAGGGGTAAAGTATGTCTTGCGTCGGCATTTTCGACTCCTTTCTTTAATGACACGAGTTGCATTATTTGAAATAACTGGCAGACCCGACCACGAAGTTATGACTGTACAGACGATTGTTCTCTACCCCCGATAAAATATAATAAAAAGGCCATCTATCGGGTAAGTTTAAGTTTTCTTAAATTTTATTTTCCTGTGCAACTTTCAAAGATTGTTTTGCGTAAGAACTTTTTACAAAGGACATTGGCGAAATTTCTGCGTAAAACGGAGTAAGCCACAGAAACAAAAAAAAACATACTAGAAAATTTAAAACGAAACATGGATAAAATCGGTGAGTGTCAGCTATTCTGAAGTGTTGGGTTCGAATTCCGGCGTGGCAAATATTTGTACGATGAATGATGAAAAACGAGCCTTTATATGTATACTGTATATCATGATTATATAGTTGTATCCGGTACCCTTGTACCACAACACAAAGTTTTAGATGGTTTAGTCGGTAGGCTAATTTTGCGTGAGTTTATTTTATAAATTTATTTATTTATTATGGTAACATAGAAGACCAACAGCTTATCTTTATAAACTAGAAATGTATAGTGGCCACAAAGAGCCAATTACAGGTCCTTATCTTGACATAACTTTAAAGGTACAGTTCTGAAAGGGCTGCAGGCAACGATATTAAATACTCTAGATACACCAACACGAACAAAATCGTGACCGTAACCTATCCAAAAGGTACATTGAACGATCCAAGGAGCTCCGTAAGATGATCGCGTAGTTAAAGTCAATATAAGGCATTATATAAATATTGAAAGTAACCTTTAATGCATACTGTATAAGGTCTTAAATAAAACGCATGCATCAAGGACATCTGACAGTTCGAAATGCAAGCTCGTAAAATTTCACGACTTATTGCTATATGCAGAAGAATTTAGACCTTAGTTCTTTGACTCTACGAGCAATTCTGAACGCGCTGTTAGCAATATAGCAGGCACGCACCGCGAGGAAAAAAGACGGCTATATGGCAACGTATAACCGACCATGCATTTAAATTTCACAAATATTTTGTATTAGATCAAAATTTACTTCAATTGCGTTAAATTAACAAACATTGAGTAGATACCTGTCGAAAAAACGACACTTTTCGTACTAAGTATTATTTTCGCATTTTTTCACGGAGCTCTGTGGCATCTCGACTTTGTAATGGTCCGCGCATGACTGAACCAAGAAGTGCTTGAGTGGAGTTCAAGCACTTCTTGATTGGGACACATTTTGAGCGCTCGTGGTGTATCTAGGGTGTTTAATATCGTTGGCTACAGGCGACACTGAGGCTAGCGCCAGCGGCGACCCTACTAGTTTCTATGAATATCTATGAAAGTGATACCGAGCGCGACGACATGCCGCGGGCACGGTAATATTATCTATACCACGGTAATATTATCTATACAGTATTGTGACTCCGCCCTGTCCTTGAAAATAAATGCCTACACCGAACGCTGCGTTGGCACGCGGTAGGGCCGCCAGCCTACAGTATTTTATGTAGTTTTGTTTTTAACGCGAGTGTAGGTAGATTACTCGTTTGTCTCTTTTTTCATCCTAACCACTTATTTATATATTATTCCAGATATTTTGCCCGATGGAAAAACCGAAATACCTAAATATTAGAAACAAATAACGTACTAGTAGATAGGTATATAAAAAATATTCTATAAAGGTAAGACACCTTTCCAATATTTCAGGTAATTTAAAAAATGATATCTCTGGGTGTGTTATTGAAGAGTTCAAGCAACCAAAAACAGCAATTGTGCTGTTGTACGATATTGATCGTTGTTTGTTCTTTTCCATACTAAATTATGTAGGTATCTACTTAATTAAATCAAATATTTACAATACAAAACGCACGTTTAAGCACGGCTAACTGCATAAAAAACAATTCAGACCGTTCGGTCGTCGTTGCGGCGCGGCGGCGCATTCGCGACTGGGTGCACGCCGAGAGCACATCGAACTCGAGTGGCGTAGGCATGACTCGCTTTCCGACCGTTTGTATGAAGATAGAATACTGTATGATATTATTACCGTGTCTATACAGTATTGTGACTCCGCCCTGTCCTTGAAAATAAATGCCTACGGCCGAGCGTTGCGTTGGCACGCGGTAGGGCCGCCAGCCTACAGTATTTTATGTAGTTTTGTTTTTAACGCGAGTGTAGGTAGATTACTCGTTTGTCTCTTTTTTATTCTAACCACTTATTTACATATTATTCCAGATATTTTACCCGATGGAAAAACCGAAATACCTAAATATTAGAAACAAATTACGTACTAGTAGATAGGTATATAAAAAATATTCTATAAAGGTAAGACACCTTTTCAATAATTCAGGTAATTTAAAAAATGATATCCCTGGGTGTGTTATTGAAGAGTTCAAGCAACCAAAAACAGCAGTTGTGCTGTTGTACGATATTGATCGTCGTTTGTTCTTTTCCATACTAAATTATGTAGGTATCTACTTAATTAAATCAAATATTTACAATACAAAACGCACGTTTAAGCACGGCTAACTGCATAAAAAACAATTCAGACCGTTCGGTCGTCGTTGCGGCGCGGCGGCGCATTCGCGACTGGGTGCCCGCCGAGAGCCCCTCGAACTCGAGTGGCGTAAGTATGACTCGCTTTCCGACCGTTTGTATGAAGATAGAATACTGTATGATATTATTACCGTGCCGCGGGCTGCACAATGCATATAGGTATATAATGCAAAATGTCAGCCGCAGGCGCTAGCCGCAGTGTCGCCAGCAGCCCATAGCGGAATTGTACCTTAAGTTAAAAAGATACTATTTGCACTGTCCAATGTAAAAAAAACTATTAAATATAGTTTTATAAATGAGGTCTATATGATAAATTACAGAATAACAAATTACGCACTTGTTAATTACAATTTCCAAAAAACAAACGATAAATAATACGTCTAATCGACGTTTAAGAATTGTTTATTCATATTACCTTTTTGTCAGCGTCCGAAGTGTGGTCCCACAGTAACCTCGTTCTCTTGTTGCAGAACGTAATCTCTCTTGTGCAGAAATATGATAGAACAGAGGAGAACTTGTGTATCTTACGGTAAACTTTTAGCATCCTGTGGATGAACAGTAGTGTGGTCAATACATGGTAAGGACACATTGAAAATAACAATACAGTAGACCCGCGGTAATTCAGACCCCGTCTCATCCGACGCCCCCTGTAATCTGACATATTTAACACTGTTGTATTGCACATAAAATCAATTGAATAGATTTGTAATTTGTCGGATTACAAGTACTATTATTATTATTATTGTACTCTTATTGCAAAAATTCCAGACTATAGAGGGTGGTTTAATCTAAGGAAAAGTTTACTAGAAAAAAATCCACGCGGATCAGGCAGCGGACGGGACTCGAACCCGCACCCTTCGCAATCCGGGCGAATGCACTGACCATTATGTTACCACGGCCCTATTAGCCGCGTCGAAATTTTCCTAGCCTTGAGCTGCAAGGCAGCGCCATCTCTTCGCATTGTAGGTAACCCGCAATGTCAAATGAATACTTTTTTAAGTATTAAGTAAATATTTAGGGAGCGTCATAGTTATGTGTGAGCAAATGCTCATAACTTGACCAAAACTCGGTTCTGATTGCGTCATTGCCCTCGGGTATGAGCGCTGATGTCGCGTCGTTTGATTTATCATCAGCCTATTAATATCCCCACTGCTGGGGCACAGACCTTCGCTATGGATGAAATAGGGAGATTGGGCCATGACCTACGTGGGCCTAGTGCGGATAGGTGGCTGCTAACGATTGCTGATGCAGCCGAAACCAACGGCTAAACGTGCCTTCCGAAGCACGGAGGAGTGATAGATAATAAATTTTTGGTCACCCATCCAATGACCGACCACTGCGAAAGTTGCTTAACGTCAACGATCGCAGCCGAACGCGCTTACCACTTGCGCCATCGAGCTCCTCAGTTAAGGATGATAATACTTGATTTAGTATACAATTGAAAGTAAGACAAAAGTCTATTAAGTCTATTACTGTTCTGCGAGTATAATGTCGACCACATCAAGAACGACAATGAGGGCTATCGCGTATGAATCCGCCGCTAGAGGCGCTAGTGTAGCGTGAGGTCTCCGAAATGTCAAATGTTATTGCTTGTTGGTTGACTACGCGGGTTTATTTCTTATTAAAATAATGTTGTGAATAATTGGTAACAATTCGGCTTAATTATGGCAAATATGAGTTATGTGGCACTGAATGTCAGTTATTAAAAATTTGCGCTTAGCAAAATGATTATGTTCCCATTTTTTCCGAATAAAACGGAACTGCGCGTCACTGTGGCATGGCCTATCATGTTTAGGATATGGTTCTTTTGTGTTAAAATACGATCTAAATGTAACCTTTGATTTCATGTGCGTAATAATAAACTTTAAAAGTTACAATTCAGGACCTCACTCAACAGTGGCGCCATCTGGTGAGACAGAAAACGGTAGCCCTCATTGCTATAGGAAGTCGCAACCTTCTTGAGAAAAATCACAGACAAATAAACCTTGCGTAGTAGACGTTTTTGTATGTAAAATTGCTACTGCGCAGGCTCAGTTAAACCTTGGTACTATCGCGGAATTATGCGCTCTGATACTTGGCGAACAAAATGCTTTGAACGGTTTTTTACAGTAGTTTTTACTACGCCCCGCATTCGCGTCGGACGCGCCAATCCGGGCCGCCGCACAAAAGTAAGACAGAGAGCATTTCATTGCTTGAATAATGAATTCGAAAACATCCGCATCGTGATCGCGACAGCGCTATACGAAAAAGTAAGACAGCGATAATTACATGTCTATGAATGAATTTTTAGAAGTTTTCCGGGATGTACATACTTGAGTGTGCCTTACGTAATCCAGACTGTTGCGACAGAATATTGTTCATCTCAACGAATTTCATTAATTACGAAGATCTAAGGACGACCTCCGTGGCCGAGTGGTATGTACGCCGGGTTTCATGGTATCGCCAACTCGCGAGGTCCCGGGTTCGAATCTCGGTGGAGACAGGTGTTTGTGTGATGAATACGAGCGTTTGTACTCCAGTCATGGCTGTTTAATACGTATTTTCTATATTAATATTCTTATATATGTATAAGTATATGTATTTTATCCGTTAGCCTAGTATCCCATGTCACAAACCTACAGTGCTTACTTTGGGGCTAGGCCAATTGGTGTGAGTGTTGGAAATATTTATTTATTTAAGGATTATTTGTTAGGCCGGATGATGGATAAACTAACTTTGGTTTCCTCCCCAAACAAATGGCTACTCCGTCCACCAGGGCGGCAGGCATAAGGTGAAGGAATATCTTGTTGAGGTTGTTAACGAAAGCGGATTTGGTTAGCGTCAGCGATATGTACCTGAAACATGACGATACAAACTTTGAATAATAAACAAATGGTGCGTGTACTTATGTACGCGCGTGAGAAGTTATAATTCTTTGGCATCATTAAAAATAAGTTTTTAATTGCATGCAAATAATTAATTACAATAAAATAATAAAAGGACCGGAAAAGGATAGTCAACACAGTCAATAAAGTTCAGTTTTAATTTGAAAAATTACATAAATAATCAAATTATTCAAGTTAAATCACTAGTGAATATAATTTATTAACACATATAATTCGCACTTGTAAGAAATTAAATCACGTTGTAAATATAGTAACTAGAAACATGTGGATAAATATTATAAATGTGAAAACAGTGATCAGAGGCGACGAACGTTCCAACATGCGCGATTTATAGAGATTCTATTTCTATTTTGTTGCTAGCTTTTCTTAATGTGCGGTTTAGCGGCCGACTTCATGGTGTTACTTTTGTGTTACAGTGATAAGCGCGCATCTTTTAATTTCACTCTCATCATTTTATCATAACGCACCTAAAGAAGTATAACTTCAAAATATGTCAAAACAGTGTATGGACTTAGCGACAGAATAGAGTCGTCATTATCAGCATTTTAATATCCCCACTGCTGGAGTACAGGCCTCAAAAATGGCATAGGAAGAACAGGCCCATGACCCACCACGCGGGTTCAGAGCGGATTGGTGGGCTGCACACTTGCAGTCGTTACTGCAAGTTTAGGGGCGTCCAACGGCTTAATGTGGCAACCCTTAGCACGATGGAGTTAAAGTTAATAAGTTTTAGGCCCGTATATAGAAAGATTCTCAGTGATTGATCTAGTCTTGAGCTTAGTTAGAAGGAAGGCTTTCTAACTGTACTCAAGTAAAGATCAACACTTAGTTGTCATTCAGTGAAACGGGCCTTAGTCACCCATTAAATGGCCGGTACATACGAGGCGATTTTAGTTGATCAACATAACTGCTAAATCGATGCATGCGATTTGAATTTGACTTTCATTCTAATTGAATATAAGCAAATGAACAATAAAAGTTGATCAATATAAATCGCCTCGTGTGAACCCGGTATTAGTTAGTGAACGTAAAGAGAGTCGACTCAGACAAAGCATCATTTCTGTAACGCGCATATTGATGTTACGTTTACAGGCATTCTCACGCAGATTCAAGCAGAATTCATTCGCGAATGGTCAGTAATTGTTTTCGAATATAGCGGGAGCCGTCCTTCCTTATGGCTTCTTTCTGTTTTGACCTGTAATAGACAGCTTTGTTCTGTCGCTTCTTCTTGTATAGTGCCTAAAATGGTACATACATAAATATAAATATGTTTCACCAACTTACCATACAGCGTTCGAGAAGGGGTGCCGGTCTATTCTCGCCATATTCTGTGCCATGAAGTCTCCCCAAGTTATCCTGTTCTCCACTGAGCTTACGTAGTTGAAGATTGGAGGTTCAAGAGGGGGACTAGAGGAAAAAAAATTAAATTAAATTAATAACATCTAGGTATTAAATATACTAACAAAATAATACTAACTGCTATTGGCACCAAATCAAACGATGGCAATGTTTATGGTAGTCATATATTCACCGATAGATGGCACTGCCAACTTAGTTGGTAAATTCACCAATAGATGACAGTGTTAATTTAGTTTGGCTAATTACCGAAAGCTAGTACTGTCTATTTAGTTTATGAACTTCCCAAAAGATGGCGGTGTTCAATTAGTTTGACTATTCACCGATAGATGGTACTGTCACGTTAATGTATAAATTCATCAATAGATGGCAGTGTTCCAGCTTGTTTTAATATTCCCCACTAGATGGCGTTGCTTCTATAATTTAGATATTTACCAAAAGATGGCGCTGCCAACTTAGTTCGAAACCTTATCACTAGATGGTAGTGTTACCTGTTTTTGTATTGGGCGTGCACGCCAGCTGCAGCCACCATGAGGCAGTTGACGACGCTGTCCACGGGCACTATATCCGCAGTGGCCGTTTCGTCGCACTGCAACGTCCTCAGGATGCCCGTTGCTGGAATAAGTAAGTAAATATTATATCAAAATCATAAGTGGCCCGGAGTGCCAGATTTTAAAATACCTACGTCCCTAACTCTATTTTATCTTTGAAAAAGTGTTTTTAAATATTTTTATTTCGTTGATTTAAAATCTGTAGCATGGAAATAGAATAGAGATTGGGCAGATCTCATTCCGTTCTTTTGACTTAACCATAATTTTGGGTCTTAGATTAAAACAAAAAGGGTAGATACGGCACTAGCCTCACAAAAGTGATCCGCATGAATTGTGGTCCACGGCCCTAATCGCTTTAGTCACAACTTGACATGCAAACGACGTACATGTGAACGCCAAAAAGGAATAATTCCTAATATTTTGTGTATATATGATAAAACAATGCCTAAGTGTGTTTTTAAAAAGTGCTCAAATTGCTCAAGAAGTTAAAATAAAACCCACGGCATCACTTTTTATTCGTAAGTACTATAAAATATATTTTTTCATAAAAAATGCTGTTTGTTTTGAATCTTATTCGGTAGTGACGTCGAGTACTGGTCGCGTGATTGGTCGGTAGTGCAGTGACGCGGATCTCGCCATCTCGTTCGCGCTGTCGTTGAAACTTAACGTGCTGTTTCGTTCGGGTCGGTAATGCAGTGACGCGGATCTCGCCGTACCGTTCGTGCTGCCGTGGGATCAGTTTTTGTTTGATGCAAGTATGAGCGTACCGTATCTACCCTTTTTGTTATAATCTAAGTTTTGGGTACTATTTCAGCTTACCACTGCCAATTGCTACACCGTTCGGTCCATACAAATTGTCCAACCAACACTTGAGGGGTTCCTTCCACGTTGAAGTCACTGAAAAAATATAATCAAAATTTTAATTGTTAACGGCTCGATGCTCGATCGATTATCGATAAATCTAAAGAAAATATAAGTCCCGTCTGCTGTCTGGTCCGCGTGGATTTTCTTCTCGTTATATTTTCTTTAAAAGATAATCAGTGAGAATTTTATTACTTAAGCTTGCTTGTTAAAATCAGATTTTGCACCACCATTTATTTTTAGAGGACCCAATTACATTTCAAGATTAATAAAGGTACCTAGTTAATTTGTTGCTATGTAACATTTAACTATATTTTTTTAACACTTATTGTGTAAGCTGTGGAGTAGATTATTTTATAGTGTATTTGACTGCATGTTTGTTATTGAAATTACCAGCTATAGCCGGTAATATTTAACAACTATACTATTTTACTTGTAATTGTGTGTAGTTGTTAAATATTCCTTATAAAGAAAAAAAACTTTTATACACATATTTTTTTTATATAAAGCCTAATTTCCTGTAATATAGTATGTATTATTTTGATATGCATTTTATTATAAGTATTTATAGCTATTAGTTAATCGTATGAACATAAACCAAAATTAATGTAAATAAAACATTTTATAACAGGCAATTTTTATAAAAGAACAAGAGCGAAAGTAACCGTCCATAACAAGGTTAAAAGAACGTTTTTAAAGTTAATTAAAACGATTAAGTTGACCCGGAGAACACTGAACACACGAACACACTATATTTTTACACAAATTATACATTAATTTGTGTAGATGAGAAATGTGTAAAAAATTTAGTGATTATTTTATTTAAAATTTGAAATATAAAATAAAGATAGAACTATAGAATTACTCTTCTTTAACTAGGATTCATAACGTCTGCAGGTTAGTATGTTTTTTTATGTTAAAAAGGCCCTCTCAGGTTCGCGTGGTCTAGAGGCTCCAGACGGAGAGGAGCTTCCCCCGTGGGGAGATGCCATCCGCCTGGAATACCTCTAGAGGCACTCGCCAATTCTCGGCTTGAGGTCCCCTTAGGATCTCGCCGTCCCCAAACCCGGTGACGCTGTAAAGGTCATCTGCGACCAACAGCATACACACTCAAAAAAAAAACTTTAAATGGTGACAAGCAAGATAAGCAGCTGCTACAATAGCTTATAGACGCTTGCCATACCAAAAATATCACTCGTGTCGTTGTCTACCCTGACCCAATCCCCTACCCCGTGGCGTAGACCCCTCTTTCCCAGTGGGCACTTTGGGCAAATGCCCAGCGCTCCGCGATCGATAGGGGCCCCCCTCAGATCAAATATAAAGTCCCTAGTTCCTGTTAAATCACCAAACTGGAGTCATATTTATTTAAAATATTTTATGTTCTCATGGTAAGTGAATTTTGTATTTTTTTATGAGAATAAAGATCTAAAACCGTAACTGGAGTCATAGGGGCCACCATTATCGTAATTTGCCCAGGGTCTCCAATAGGTCAACGACGGCACTGGTGGAGCTATCCTCATATTAAATAAATACAGTTTCATCAAAGAAAAAATAATAGAATGTTTTCGCTTCTGGTGGTGTTGTCACTTACCAGCGTTCGCTTCCACACAACCTACTTCTGGAATATATATAGAAATGAAATATAAAACATAAAAAGCAATACTAAAATAAATAAAGTGCTTAATTACGAATAAATAATTGAATTAAAATAGTATTTGTACATACAGATAGATAATTTGCTGTGTATTTGACTTTCTGTTTTGAACTATATGATGAAATAAAGAGTATAATAATAATTGTTTGTATAATTAAATGAATACAGGAAAGAGTGTGTCGATTGTTCATTTTATAGTTGTTAAACGAGTATCTATATGTGTATATATAAAAATTACAAACTATTTGTATACTTACGTACTTTCACATTCTATACAAAACAAACACTGTAAAATGTTATAACTACATGTTACATCCCAAAATCTAAAGCTTTACGTACTCTACCCCTAGCACGAACTATTATCGAATTCGAATAGTTTACGATTGCGAAATGTCAATGTCAACATTTTTATAGAAACCTGAATAGCAGCGGCACAAAGTACGTAACGAGAACTAAAAATCAAATGTGTACACATTTGACAATGACATTTCGGACTCGCAAACGTTACGAATTCGACAATGGTTCGTGCTAAGGGTACTGTAACGCCCGCCGCGGTTTTCTTTAGACTTAAACATCTAGCAGTTAAATGCTTTAAAAAATAAAATTTAAGTTTAAGATTTCCAGTAAAAAAATCCTAAATATTGGATGCCATTCAATTGGTGCTTGACAGTGCGTATAAGCATTATAAAGTAAGGAAGGTATTTTTACCAATGGCAGGCCTGAATATGCCTACTGGTATGTCTCCGGCGCTTAAGCGAAGTTCCTTTTCCGCTAAAGCCTTAGTGAAAGTGTATGTGTTGGGCCATGCACCGAGAATCCTGTTAATGAAAAAGGAATATCTTTTTAGTATCAATAGATTTGACGACCTCCGTGGCCGAGTGGTTTGTACACCGGGTTTCATGGTGTCGCCTACTCTAGAGGTCCCCGGGTTCGAATCCCGGTGGGGGCAGATGATTGTGTGATGAACACAAGCATTTGTACTCCAGTCATGGATGTTAAATATGTATTTCTATATAAATATACTTATATATGTATCAGTATATGTATTCTTTCCGTTACCCTAGTATCCCATAACACAAGCCTACAGTGCTTACTTTGGGGCTAGGCTAATTGGTGTGTGTTGGAAAAGAAAAAAACCAATTTGGTATAGCCGTTTCCACCACCATCCGACCTAGAAATTTCCTACACTCATCTAGTGGTCTGTGTAAGCAAAATGGCCGCCAAATCCTTTTGATTCCCGCGCTTTACAAAAACTGTTATATTTCGAGTTCTACTGAACCTATTGCCTTCACTTATGTCTTAAATCAATCTTGAATAGTTTCTGCATCTATTTCTTTTTATCTATCAACATAGGTATTCTATAAGCTGTAATCCGACTTACAATCTAATTTATAAGGATTTCTAACAAATGTCAAATATCTAAAGGTGCTATCCCACGATCTGTGTTGTTGCGGGCGAGGCCGCGCCGCACATTGCTACCAAACGTATGAAAACTCTAACGTTGGAGATTTAGCAGTCTCTATACATGATACGAGGTTAATAGAAATCTCGTACACTTTGATGTGAGAGATTTGAACTTGACTTGTTGTGTTTTCAAATTCAAAATATGAGATCATCAGAAGCATAATACAACTCTTTTAAATCGCCATTTTTTTTCCCTACCACCCAATTAAGGACAGTTTTAGCTTTGAAAAAAACGAGCGAAATAAACTTCACAGCGTCAAATCTTGGGCAAATATTTACAAAATATTATATTGTAACAGTGTCAATTACAAAATTGAATCATCTGTTCGTTATTATTAACAAAAGAATACTTATCGAAAATATTAAAAATCGTTCAATAGTTGAAAAAAAGTTAATATTGCTTAGAATACATTAAATTCTTTAGAAGTCATGGCCATCCCACTAAAATTTGTAATTTTCCTTCTAAAGTACAAATGTATGACTAAATAATTTTACCAATTTGCAGTATTACAGCAGCTAGGTCATTAGTTTTCAGTAGAATGTCTTCCAATTGTATGATTTGAGTATAACAAATTCTGCAATTGATTTTAGGTTAAGCAAATTCATTGCTTTATAGATTTATTGTAGATTCGCGCAAACGGCCATTATGTTCTTTTTATTCAATCTTACCTCGGTAAAGCTTTGTCAATCTCGAAGTCGGTCATCTTGTCGACTTCGGCTTGAAGTTGGTTGCAAGTCACGTCGCAGGAGTAGAATCTTTCCTCGACGAAATGAAGATGCGAGTTCGAATACGCCGTCGATATGTGCATTAACACCTGCAATAATATTAAGTTAGGGAAATAAAATTAGACAGCGGATTTTGTTTTTGTCTGGGAAATACCTTACGCATCCTTCAACCACTGGGGGAGCGAGAAGAAGGTATGTGGGACTCCTCCCTGTCCACTTCAGCCATCCTTGAGGCCAGCTGAAGTGTACAGGGCCCTATTTTTATTACGCAGGTAAAAAATCTTTTTACAGACGACGGCGCCTTTAAGAGGCACACCGCCGAACGGACCTCACACCAGGCTCCCGCAAGTCTTAAAAAACCCCAGTGGCTCCCCACCGAGGACCCCGCAACTCTTACGGGCGCTTTACGGCATAATATCCGCTAAAAAATCCTGCGAATACCTTCTACACTGCTTAATGCGAAGCCGCGGAGTCCCCATTAAGGGATTCTTCCGCGACTCCGCACCCAGCAGCTTCCCAGCGTGGCCGGGGCAGTGCACAGGGCCCTACCTACGCCCTGAACAGGGCCACTAAAAACCAGACAATATCCCTGCACCATGTCACCCGACCCGCATTGCTGTACCCTTAGTACGAGTTTTACAATTACGAAAACTATGATAGTTTTCGTGAGCTCGCACTCGTACTAAGGGTACTGATTTTATTGTTTTCGTTTCAATACAAATAAAAATGTCCTCCAATCTAAGGTCAAATTGAAAAGTCTCAAAAATTTGCCAAATAATAAAAGGAAATTTCTAGCTATTTCCTAACAGCGATAAATTTATAGTTTGCTGACATCTAGTGGTGTTTTTATGAACTACGTACGATGGCCAAAATGAATTGTAAATTGCTTCTAGTACTAGTTTAGAAACAAGGAACCGAACTACGTAGTTTTAGTAATCAAAACCTACAGGGTACTTCCCGTGAAGTTAGAATCTTGAAATTTGGTACAAAGTAACGTCTTATAGTACAGATAAAGGAAAAATTGCGAAAACCGCAAATTTTTAATTACATCATTTAATATAAAATTTTTTGAAAATTCAGCTGTGTACGGAACCCTCGGTGCGCGAGTTTGACTCGCACTTGGCCGGTTTTTTTTGTTAGTGTAGTGAGTGACCACCTCCAAAATTTCAGGCTGCGACCGCGCCTGCCCACTCACTGGCTAAAATAGAAGAAGGGTAGCCAAGACATCCCTTGTGCAACTCCGACAGAAACACCTAACCGTAATTGTGACGAAGAGGGTTTCATCACGGTGGAGAGGAAGAAGAGGAAGCCCACTCGTCACAATCAGTGCGGTGTCGCCCCGATCGGACCGAATAACCTGCTGCGTTCAGCGATACCTGTGACGCTACTGTATCTGTCTCGCTTGCATTACACCACAAAGGCGGAGGGGATCGCAGAATACTTGCGTACGAAGACCAATTTCTCCCTGAGGGTCGCGAGGTTGGAGCCTCGCCACGACGTGAATTTTAATTCATTTGTGGTGAGAGTGCCGACTGAACATCTGGCGACCTTTTTGAAAGAGGAGCTTTGGCCGAAAGGTGTGGTGTTCCGGCGTTTCAAAGGCAGGCTACCTGACACCACTTCGCGTCACACGTCGCCGACTAAACGTGTTATTTAGAATTTGTAATTATTTTATATTTCATATCTATGTTAGCCTATTTAATGAGGGGCCGTTCAAGAATTACATAAGCACTATAGGGGGACAGGGGGGTCTTTGCTTTGCTTATTTTTGATGACATGGGGGGGGGGGGGGGGGTCAAGATAGTGATTACGTCAGCATCATGGTTTCAGGTGCCATGGACTGAAGACAGTTCGAAAGAAGTTTGTTTTGTTCGTAATAGTACCTAATAAAATTATAATATTTGTGCCTTAATGTATATGTACATTGAATACTGTGTCAATAAAGTTTGTTTAAATGAATATAATGTGCGTTAAATTCCTAGTATCGTAAGCCTATTTAAGTACTGCTGCTCATGAATCAATAAAAAAACAGAATACATTAAAGGAAAAATGCATAAAGGTACCAACGTTCACGTAAATTTGGGGGGGGGGGGGGGGGTAAGAGCTTAAAGGGCCCCTAAATAAATAATATTTAGGGGCCTATAAATACAATACCATGAAAAGGTCTATTGTGATATTGCACTGTGGTCTTCTTAAGAGTCGGAGGAACTAAAATTGTATCATCACCAGCTCTTCCGTGCTTCGGAAGGCACGTTAAGGAGCATATTACACCTGGGGAAGTCATTTCCTTACAGATGATCACAGTGAAATAACACTATCCTTTGGTGGTGTTGTATTTCTGTCGGTGAGTAAGTGTTGCCATACAGGGGCCAAACGCCGCAGCCACAAACGCCGCCACGAGAAGCTAGAAGCAGCTACTAAAGTGGCTGAGGCGCGCGACAGCGGCCGACTAAGGTAAGGGAGAGAGGGGTGGGGAATCGCGCGAGTGACGTGTGGCGGCGTTTTGTATCGGCGCATTAAGTGGCCGGTGCGGGCCACAAGGAGCGAGCAACGACGATTTGTAGCGTGTGGCGGCCACCGGCGTAGCGTGTGTGGCGAGTCCATATAAAATGTATGAAAACTGCAAGAAATATGCCGGTGGCGGCGATTTGTGGTTGTGGTCGGTAGCCCGTGAGCGGCGACGCTAAGGTTCCTGGGCTCCACAAGGTTAGTTGAGGCAACGGTGTGAGTGATATTTTTGGTATAACAAGCGTCTATAGGCTATGGTGGCCGCTTACCATCAGGCGGGCCATACTCTTGTTTGCCACCCTTTTAACATAAAAAAGGATCTTGATCGTGGAAGTTAAGCCACTTTCGGAATGGCCGGTTATCGGATGGGTGACCAAAAACTTATTATCTCGAGCTTCTCCGTGCTTTGAAAGGCGCGTTAAGCTGTCGGCCCTGGCTGCACCTGCAGTTGTCAGCACACAAGATACACCCCACTGTAGCAAGTCATGGCCTATTCCTCCATAGGGAAGGCCTCCATTAATAGGCTGATGATGATCACAATATGACATTCATCATCATCATCATCAGCCTTATAATATCCCCACTGCTGGGGCACAGGCCTTCCCTATGGATGGAATAGGGAGTTTTGGGCCATGACCCACCACGCGGGCCCAGTGCGGATTGGTGGGTGCTAACGACTGCAGATGCAGCCGGGACCAACGGCTTAACGTGCCTTCCGAAGCACAGAGGAGCTCAAGATAGTAAATTTTTGGTCACCCATCCAATGACCGACCACTGCGAAAGTTGCTTAACTTCAACGATCGCAGCCGAACGTGCTAACCACTTGCGCCATCGCGCTCCTCCAGACATATAGAATATGACATTACTCACATCCAATTTCTTTATATCTCGCGCGAGCCTCAGGAGGTGTAACGGCGCCCTCACATTCGTGTTAAGTGCCGCTCTTAAGTGCTCATCAAATTTCACAGTCGCCGCAGAGTGGAAAATTATGTTCACCTACAAAGAAAAACAAACAAATTTAAGTGGGTACTTATGGTACATCTATAGATAGAGTAAGCTGTTATGAGTAATCATAATCATAATCATTTATTCAGTTTAGGCCGTTACAAGCAGTGTTGCCAGGTCCGAGTTTTAAAAATCGGGAGGCGTTATAGAAAAAAACAGTAGATGTATGGAAACAGCTACAAAAATCAAATCAAGATAAAGACCAGTAACGAATGTGTTTCTGTGGCTTCTGCCGCCCCTCAAAGCAATTTTCTCTTTAGACAATTACATTTATTTTATAATTATTAAGGTTATCTACATTATTAATGACGGAAAATGCAACTCAACATGCAATTTAAAAAAGAAAATCGTATTCTAAAAAACAGGAGATTCATGTAGAAAAACAGTAGAACAGGAGAAATTTCAGAAAAACAGGAGATCTCCTGTAAAATCTGGAGACCTGGCAACACTGGTTACAAGCACTCATGAATGTCTAGAAGCTACGCCATCGGTTCGTAAATCTACGACGGGAGACCTTGTATTGAGAAGAATTATCGTGAGAATGACCGAGTTAGATGTTCTTTAGATTTATAAATCTAGCAGTTTAATGCTTAAAATGATTATAGTAATTAACAAATTATATGTGTTGAGACGTGCCTTGATTTCTAAACAATAACCAGAGACAATTGGCCTCGTTTATAAAAAATGTAACTTTGCATTTCTGTGTTACGTTAGATATACATCAAAACAAAATTCATATGAGAAAATCGTATTTTTACTTTATACATTTGGTTTACTTACCGCGACTCGCGCTAACTTCACAGACACTATTAAAGGAGATTGCTCATATTGGCCCAAATGCCCAAAAAATTTTGACATAAACGGTAATTCTTGGCGTAATTTATCATTTAATCTACAGTCATTAGATTTCAACGGACCCCTTGGTATAATATATTTACTTTAAAAAGGACTTTTAATTTTACCGGTTTGGAAAACATAAGAATCATTTTTAATGGCTATGGGTGTAGTAACATTCAGCCAAAGACTGATCGAAGTTGTTTATATAACATAAAAAACAAATCTATTTTGTAAAGATCGATAAAATAAATATTTTTGTTTTATTAGACTGTGGTATTAATATCCACAACTATATTATCATTTTCACTACATGCAAATGTGCTCAGACAATTATTATAGATGGTAGGCGACATCATAAAGACTATTGCCATACATTTTTCCCCAAACACCTCCATAAACACATTATAATCTGTATATATGTTAGACTTTAAGGTATCTATCTATGGGCCTACGTTCCCTGACTATAAATTGATAAAGAAATAAAATTATAAGGTGTGATACACTAAAAATCTAAAATATGGTTATCTTAAAAACATAACAAAAAAATTAAAGCTACTGAATATATGGCTATAGAACCTAAATCTCTTAGCTTTCTTTGGTTAACGAGAGTTTAAAAATTCTCTCTAATCTGTGGCTCATCACAATCATCACACAGTTTCTGTCACACAGTACCTTATTATAACCGGAAATGACACCTGATTTTAAAAGTTACTCTTATGCATTAACTTTAAAAACAGGCAACTATCTGTTAATCTACATGCTCTGTATACCTGAATCTAATCCATAATTTCGGTACTTGGCTTGATTTCCCTAGTTTACTATATCACTTATTTGTTTTTTATTATTTTAATATGTTCAGTGTATATGGTTTATATTGCCAATGCCACATTATAAAAAAAATAAAGTTTTTTTTTCTCCAATTAATGAAAAAATATGTCAGGGGTGGACAACCCTTATCACTTAGGGGTATGAATAATAGTTAGTAGCCGTTCCCCAGACCTACTGAATACGCATATAAAATTTCATAAAATTCGGTCAAGCCGTTTCGGAGGAGCATGGTAACTTACATTGTGACACGAGAATTTTATATACAGGGCGTCCCACGGCTACCTCACACGGAGGGAAAGTATATTAAATATTGAAGATAGGATATTTTACTGAAAGAAGACATCATTTTATTTTTAATAATAACTAGAACTGCATTCACAGATTTTTTTAAAATCGCCTGTTACAACTGGGAATCAATATCGTGAAATTTCGAAAAAAAACGACGTATTTTATGATAATCATCGAAAGGGTTAATCATAAGGATTATGTTTTGCTAAGTAACTTAGCATTTTAAATGAAAGGAATGTCTTATAACGTGATAAAAATAATAAAGTGATATACAAATTGTAGTACGTATGCATTTCTTTTTGAATTCAGTTACAATGCGATTGACTGAAATTTGTAATAATAATTCGAAAATGTTGTTCACATCAATTTTCAAGCCTGTGTTCTTTTGTTTTTCTTGAGTTTAATTTTCGTTTATTTGCCTTTTTTTGTTAATTAACTTACCATGGCGCATCAAAATAAAATAGATTTAATGTAAGCTTACTTTATGAACCACAAAGACATATCATTAGCTTAGCGGTGGTACTGCAAAAGATATACTGATAGAGACAAACCTTCTCGATATGTGTTTAAATAATGAAAGAAAGATGGAGATAGAAAAAGATTTTTGATAAGCCATGGTAAGTAAATTAACAAAAAAATGAAAATGAAACTCACAAAAAACAAAAGAACAGACACTTGAAAATTTATGTTTCCATTTTGGAATTATTATTATTACAAATTTCTGCCAGTCGCATTGTTACTGTAAGTTCAAAAAGAAATGCATACGTACTACAGTTTGTATAACACTTTATTATTTTTATCACGTAATTCACATTCCTTTCATTTAAAATGCTATGTTATTTAGCAAAAAATAATCCTTATGATTAACCCTTTCGATGGTTATCATAAAATATGCCGTGTTATTTTTTTAAATTTTTTACGAGTTTGATTCCCAGCTGTAGCAGGCGATTTTAAAAAAATCTGTGATGCAATTCTAGTTATTATTAAAAATAAAATGATGTCTTCTTTCAGTAAAATGTCCTATCTTCAATATTTAATATACTTTCCCTCCGTGTGAGGTAGCCGTGGGACGCCCTGTATAAGACTAGCTGTCCCAGCGAACTTCGTACCGCCATTAAAATAAGTGTTGGTTGTAGAAGGGTGAAAATTTAGGGTTGCATGTATTTTTGTATGATGTATCATAAAACAATAACATCAAAAAAAATTTCCAAAAAAACTTTAAGGGTAGTCCACCCTTAACATTTAGGGGGATGAAAAATAGATCTTGTCCGATTCTCAGACCGGTCGTGCCGTTTCGGAGTAGTTCAATTACGCACTCCGTGACACGACAATTTTATATATAAGATGTTACCTTTTCAGTGAGTATCTGCCTGTCTGACAGCGTCAGGCCGAGTCCCGCCGCTTCGCAGTCAGCTGGTATAACAACTAACTTATGTCTGAACTTTGGTACTTCCTCTTTGAGACGATCAAACACCTGGAATAAAACGAATAGAAATAAGTATTTTGAAGCAGTTCATCATCACCATCTTTACCATAATAATGCCACTGTATTGTTTAGGGTTCCGTAGTCCTGACAAGGAACCCTTATAGTTTCGTCATGTCCTTCTGTCCGCCCCAGTATTGCTGGGAGACTGTTAGGACTAGAGAGCTATTCACCCACAGAAACAGCACCATCAAAAGGTAGTGTTCTTTCACTGTGTGTGTCTTGTGTAAGTTGCAAGTTACTTCCACAGACGGGCGTTCCGATTCGAGGGAAAATGTTATATGCCCTTCCTCTCTTAATATAAATCAGTAGACTGCGGACTACTGGTGATTCCTAAAGACATCCTAAGTGGTCCCTAGGGGGTCATGTCCCTGGGCGACAGTGGTAATACATAGACATTCCTATATTTTGATTGGAGAGCAAACTCGAAGTGGATTTAGAAATACACCCTTGCAAACAATAGGTGGTATGTGGCAAGACAGACGTTTTGACAAATAGTCCCTCATCACTGCAAGGTTACGAGCGGACGCGAGCTGAGAGTTTGCTGAATTTGCTTGTCAAACAAATTTTTATCACGACTAAATACGTCTAGTCTAGTGGAGATTTAATAAGCATTTACAAAAAAAGCATACTATAATTACTTATTATTCCATGGGTAAAATTTCTTTTACATATCTACTTTTCGTGGAGGAAATCGTCGAGAGCCATTCCTCAAATTTGACTATTTTTATACGAAATTTCAGTTTTCAGTTTCAGTCAGACAGTTAATGTCGATATATCGCTTTATCTCATCCCGTTTCGATGTTCATGCTAGATGGGCACGCATTGGCAAATACCGGGCGAAAGGGACAGCTGTAGTTAACACTGAAAATTTCGTATAAAATTAGCAAAATTAGAGGTTTGGCTCTCGACGATTTCCTCCAAGATAATATAAAAAAATAATTTTACCTATAGAATAATAAGTAATTATAGTATACTTTTTTTTGTTAATGCTTATTAACTCTCCATACGTATTTAGTGGTGATAAAACTATTTGTTTAATTTTTGCATTTTGAGGGCTTCAGTTTCTTTGAAACGCAAGTTATCGAAAAAAGCAAGACATAGGATCTTAGAATGAGTAAAATTATATTGTATTGTATGAAGAGCTCGATGGCGCAAGTGGTAAGCGCGTTCTGCTACGATCTGTTATAACCCGACTTAGCAACCGTAGAATGCTAATTCAACAATAATATGTATAACTGTAATTTTATAGAATTAAACTACAGAGTTGCATTAACGCAGCCCTCACATTATTTCATCAGTTCCCACAGTTCAGTTAGACTTTGGCAACGGGAAAGAACGGTCCATCCGGGAAGCTCGGGACTTGGTACTCGAGTTCGCGTGTGTAATTGTATATGTTAATTCAATTAAATTCGTATCTGGGAATTTTAAGTTTATAAAGACGATCAGCGCCGGCCTCCTAACAACAACGTTGAAGTTAAGCAACTTTCGCAGTGGTCGGTCATTGGATGGGTGACCATAAATTTACTATCTCGAGCTCCTCCGTGCTTCGGAAGGCACGTTAAGCTATTGATCCCGGTTGCATCTGCAGTCGTTAGCCAATCCACATTGGGACCGCGTGGTGGGTCATGGCCCAAACGCCCTAGCAGCGGGGTCATTAATAGGCTGATAATGATGATGACATTTTATTTATTAAAATCAATTCTTTAGTGATAAAAAGCAAAGAGGAATCAGTCAGGCAAAGACGTTTGTATAGAAAAAAACTGCCCGCCGTCTCCCCTTTTAAGACTATATAGACTATATATTGTATCCGCTTACACGGGACATAATATGCTTGTTTGATACTGTTTTTACATATATTATAATAGTTATAATATTATTTTTTTAAAGCATGTAACACCTTATGTTTAAATATAAAGAAAATATTGCTAGAAAAATTCAGCGGACTAGGCAGCAGGCGGGACTCGAACCTGCACCCTTCGCTAACCGGGCGAATGTACTAACCTATACCATAGCGAAGGGTGCCTAGTCCACGTGGAATTCTTTCTAGCAAATATTTTCTTTAGATTTAAATATAATGGTATTAAAATGGTACCCAGCCGCTTTACATCGAATGCTTTTTTGCAAAAAAAATTGGCTAACATTTTCTCATACTCAATACAGAGGACACAGCTATGGGGAAAACACAGTCATTAAGAATCATTTCTTGTCAACTAGTTTCTGTTAAAGTCTCAAAAGATATATGTGTGTTTAAAAGTGTTTGTACTTTATGCGCGCCATTACTACACACATAACTTGGAAATTACACCGCAGTATAACTTCAAAGAAACTATTTACTTTATAATGGCTTTTTGAAGTGAAAACTTCTTTAGTTTAGTTGTGACTTGAGATTCGATGAAACGGAAGTAGAGTATTTGACACTAGATAGGTATCCGTAATTTTATCAATTACTATAAGAGACAGATAGCCGAACGTTAACGGTCTTGGGGTCGACACCGAATGATCGGTGGTTCGATCCTGAGCTAAGTTACTTTTTAATTGTTTTTAATTATTTTAAGTATTATGAGCCCTTTCACATTTTTTGCAAAACATCGTAAAATTTTGAGCGCCTCGTTTACCCTCTTAGAAAAGATTTTGACTTTTTCCAATAAAAAATAACAGTAGATATATTTTTCTTATTGTAAGTTAATGTAGAATATTTGCAAATACTATTTTCCTTTTTTGTACTGATCATTCTACTGCAGCTGCAGTTTACGGAAAAAACGATAATATGCACAACTTCAAACGCCTGAATCTTTTAATAATATCCAATAAATTAAATCAAATTAGTTACTACGACATCAGAAATATGTTATTGTTGTCACATAATGTATTAGAATTTAGATTTTCCATCTCATTAATTAACAAAAATAACATCTAACCTCCATGAGTTTTCCCAAAAAATAATGCAGGTTTACCTCGTAGTTTGATATTGAATTAAATAGATTTACTATCAAAAACTTTCATAAAACTAATCTACCATCATTAAACTACTGAAATATGTATACATTTTTATCATAAGTTCATTAATAATTATTTTATAAGACTCGAAACATCACCCGTAAAATGCAATATATACTCGTACTAGTGCAAATCTACCTACTCGCCGATCAGTACGGCGGCGGCGCAATTTTGTAAAAGGGCTCTTCATCTTAAATATTTGATTTTACCAAGAGAGTTGAATTTAAACACAAGTATTGTTTTTAAGACGTACCTAGTAGTACTTTTACGTCTTCACATTTTAGTTTCACTTTTATCGCGTATGAACACCACATGTCCGTTTTTTAAAAAAAATTTCCGGAGATTCATACTTTTGGATATCTTTTCCAGGTTTGAATCTGAACTATCAATTTTTAAATTTTAAGTAAAATTATGTTCCTTTTTAGGACTTTTATTTAGTCAATGACCGGATTTTAGTCCAAAAAGCTGGATTTTTAGCCCCGATTTTCGCATTGAGGTTCTGGTAATCTTAAACCCACCAATCCCGCACTGGGCCCGCGTGGTGGCCATAGCCTTATCTCCCTATTCCGTGCATAGGGAAGGACTGTGCCACAGCTGTGGGTACATTGATATGATGGGGACCCGTCCAGAAATAGTGCAATAGTTTTGCTTGTCGCATTAGCCATAAAGAAGTACTGTTTAAGCCATCAAGATGAGGATCTTGCTGGTCTACAAAATACCCCTTCACGCCTATTTTAAAGGATGCCGTGTTCAAGGAAGAACCCATCATATCAATGTCCCCACTGCTGTGGCACAGGCCTTCCCTATGCATGGAATAGGGAGATAAGGCCATGGCCCCCACGCGGGCCCAGTGCGGGTGCATTGGTGGGTTTAGGATTACCAGAATCTCAATGCGAAAATCGGGGCTAAAAATCTAGATTTTCCCGCCCTCCTGGGTGGGTACAGATACACGAAGCAATATGCAGGCCGGAAAGGTAAGGATGGCTCATCATGTAGGTAGTAGAACTGCTGCAACAGCGTCTTTCGTGTCTGGACACCGCCGTCACATAACATCAGGTGAGCTGTAGTCATTTATCGGAGTGATTTTATAAAATAAATAAGCATAGGATGATGATAAATATTTCCCTTTGCAACGCCGTGTTTGTTCATAAGACCTTGATTAAACAATACAGCGCATTATTGGAATAGTGTACGCATGCATCCTTAATGGAAGTCCATAGTGTTTTTATTTGTATGACGTCAAATTGTTTAACCACATCAAGTCCTTGGCAAACAATACTCGGTCGCTGTGCAAATGTTTACTGTGTGCTTGGCAATTCTCGAGAAGATCGCGAATAATACACTGTCATTAAATCAACTTTACCTTCGACTGGTAAGTATGAACAGCATAAAGGTCTTGACATAATTTGCTTTGGCCATACCCAAGTTTATTTAAACAAATAACGGCCTTAGAAATGAGTTTGATGCAGCGATATTGTGTGGAAAAATTTTAGCCTTAAATTTTTTTTTTTTTTTATTTATTTATTTTATTTATTTATTTATACTTTATTGCACAAAAGTATGTACAAGTGGCGGACTTAATGCCATTAGGCATTCTCTACCAGTCAACCGGAGAATTTTAGCAAAAATTTTAAGGTAGTGCAAAAAGAATTCATTCATTTATATGACTAGATGCCGTATTATAACTGCATGGAAGCGGCCCAAAAATATCTACTACATATGGTAAATACGCTCGTCGCTGCACACTTACACATTGGTGTCGATTCTGCCATGATTCTCTAAACCTAAACTTAAAATTGACAAGAGTGTATCCTTGTCATTCGCTATATAAAATGAAAAGGAGAGATTGATGTTAAAGGACAATGCTAGAAGTTCTATAGAGGTTTAACCCACCCGATAAAAATGGTGTACACGAATGCGATAAATGACATTTCATAGCTGTAATATTAGGTATCAAAATAGTAAAGTTGTAAATTCTCTAGAAGCTGTGG